AAGTATTATGTTGGTAGGTCATTTATACCTAATAAGTATTTGTTTTTGTAATAACTATCGTGAGACATACTAAATTAATTAAACATCTCGGGTTACTCACGTGAATATACTGATAAAAGCTCTACTAGTTTCGAACCACAGAGGGGTTCTTCCTCATGAGCAGCGTGCGCGGTCGCGGCGAGGAAGGAAGGAGTCAGAAGGAAGAACCGTATTCCTTGTTAAAAGGCCGGCAACGCACCTGTGACTCCTCTGGTGTTGCGGGTGTCCATAGGCGGCACTGATGAGGTGACTTACCATCAGGTGATCCGTCTACTGGTATGCCACAAAAAAAATAAGTTACAGGACATGTACTTTGCGTCAATTGTGATTGTGATCTAAAATTAAAACTTAACATTATTTAATATGTGCTGAGGATGGAACCTGAATCATGCTCAGTATTCGCAATTAAAGAGTCAATGACATGATGTAAGATTTTGATTTGACTGTGACAACATAACGATGGGAAAATCAAATACTATTTAACATTCTTACATGCAATGTGTAATTGTAAACTATAAAATTAAATCCTTCGTGGTAGCCCGGAGGTTAAAGGGCCGTTTAATGGTGTAATGTTTAGATTCAAAATAGAATGCTGTATATAGATTAGGTCAGATATCGAACCCTTGCCTTCTCACCGAATGATGACTACCGAGCTAGAGGATTCGGGCTCGATTATCGGTTTGGACAAATTACTGTAGTTTTCCAGATTTTTAAAAGTATTAGTTAGTTTTGTTTTAGTACTGACAAGGATTCTAAAATTGCGTCCGGTGTATAACAATAGATTTATCCTCTATTAATTTATCTGTCTTATATTGGCTTCATAATACAACACACAACTAGTAGAAAATGGATGGTACATCGTACTAACATTATGTTCCTCTACCAACCCTTTCTAAGATTAAAAAGCCTATTGTAAACAGGTTAATACTAAACCTTTTTACCCATAACCTCCTTTCACAATCCACCTGGAATTAATTACAGTTCTTACATCCTTACTAATATTATAAATCGGAAAGTGAGTTTGTTTGTTTGTTCCGCTTTAACGCCGTAACTACTGAACCGATTGCTTTGAATTTTTGCAGACGTAAAGTTAGAAGTCTGTATTAAATAATAGGAAATTTTATCCCGGAAAAAATTGATATTCTCGAGGGAAAACGAAATTATAGATGGCGCTGTGTGTATTAGCATATGTCACATAGGCTTTTTATCTTTTTGTGATGCGTGCGAAGCCGCGGGTAAAAGCTAGTTTCCTACTAGTTACTTGGGTAACCTAGGAATGCTACTGTATTCTAAATCCTAATGCATTGCGTTGCCTTATTGGGTGTTTAGACATTTCTGTTACCCTTGCTCCGTGACTAGTGAATTACTAATGCTAGATAGCTTGAGTTATAGACTTAGGAACTATTTGTGTGAACCTGTAAAGGCTTAGGTTCCATTGCTGTGTTGCAGTAGATTATTAAGAATGTGAAGCGTTTTGATTTTATAATCGTGGACGCTTTTATGATATGAGAGTGTTAACCCGTATATAGACCTTATTTTCAATGTTTAGAGACTACTTTTGTATGAACAAATCTAGAGGATGATTTTCAAATTTTTTTTAATATGAATTGAGAAATAAAATAAAATAAAAACTGCGTTTAAAAAATCGATATCTTCCATACCTCCTCCTTTTTTTGAAATCGGTAAATAATAGGACGAAGTAGGAGGCCTTTGTCCAGCATATTCGGCTGTTGATTATGATGATAAATAAAAAATAGAGATAATTTGTGTTATTTGTTTAGGTATTTGGTTGAATATAAATTGTAAGTACCAATACTGATGACCCAGAGGTTACAGCGGTAAATCGAACATCCTTAGATTTGTAAATTTTGGCACCAGTTAGAAAGAATATAAGCAGGTTTGTAGGTATTTAACTCGCCGCACGTAAATTACGAAAACGTAAAGACACTTTGATATATTTAAGCATAGTTAGTTCCACAAAAAAGTGACGCTATTTCTCCCTTTTCTGTGGTGAATTCAAGCTGTCCGAGAATGATGATCGTACCTAATGGTATCTAATGTTATATTTATCTGATTGGTTTATTACTCTGACTATTTTGATTTGACCTTAGCGTAGATACTTGGGTAAGAACTTACACCATTGCTGGTCGACAGCACCGCAGAAACCATAGTACCTTCAAAACAATGGCCCGTTGAAGCACGTAGCGTGGTCTAAGTGATGAGATAAATGCATTTACTAAACAAATAATAAAATAATTTAATTTGAAATCGATGAAGATAATCTTCTCAAGTATTGAATCGAAATCTTTGTGTTATTTATGTTGTATTGGTATTTGTACCTAAAATATTTCCGTTTAAACAAACCGACTATAACTCCTTCTTGTCGAAGTCGGTTAATTAATATAGTAAAACCTTCTCCTAATTGTGTAACTCCTAAACGTATTTTAAATTGAAAACTAGGTCGTGACATGGATCGTAAAAAGAATTGAGTACTTCTGTTATTACTTGGGAGATACAGGAAAAAGTAACATAGAACATTTTTGGAAGATAAGATTTTGATGCGCGATGCGAATCAATTCGCAATTTCTTACGATACGTAGAGGGAGCTCGCACATTTTTGGGATGCGACGTCCCATCGCAGCTTTGTGTACTAGCCCTAAGTGTTCATGTCTGTAAATAAACCTACTACACAAGCGAAAATTCTAGTATGAGAGATTTTTCTATAGATCAAAATATTAAATTAAACTCGCTTCATGTGCCAACTTGTGCCGCATTCATTCATAGCAGTTTCATTCGTAGCAAGAATTCGTGAAATGTTCGCATTACACCGTTATGAACCACTTCCTCACGCAGCCCCAGCTACCTGCAGCCTTTGCTTTGAGCCTTCAAGACTCAAAGATCATAAGCTATAGAGGTATTTTATAGTAGTAGTAAGAAATTAATTTGCTATTGGGATTACGTTGTTTTACTGAGTGAACCGGTTCATAGACTTAATATTTCTAATATTAATTACATCACATTTTGTTCACATCATATCAACAGCCTATAAGTAGCCACTGCTGATCAAAGGCGGAGAAGGTTTGAGTATTAATCACCACGCTTGCTCAATACGGGTTAGCGTTCAAACCACTACAAATTATAGTCTTAGGTTTCCTCAAGATGTTTTCCTTCACCGTTCGACAGTGGTGTCTAAATAATCTTAGAAAGTACATATAACTCGGGAAAAGTCACATTGTTACTTGTCAGACCACCAGGGGCCCAACAGGGCTGATGCCAATACTGAGCCGCGGAAGACTTAACGGGTTGCCGTGGCTCCGGCTCGACGTGCAGGAGAAGGAACGGGGTGGTTTTTAGTCAGTAAGAGTCTGACACTCCCTCTCGCCTCACCTGGGTGGGAGAAGTCATTGGATGATGTTCCCCCCTCAAAAAAAAGGCACGATCACGAACAGGCTACTCATGTTGTTAACTAAATCTGCTATCTATGATCTGTCCATGACACGATTTCATTTCCATTTAATATCGACAAAAAAAACATTTAAACAAACAATTATAGTGTCACTCACTTTTTGTCATAAAACAAATTCTATTAAATAGTAAGGCAGGCCTTTTTCAATTTCTAAACTTCGTACAATCGATAAAAACATAACAAGTAATTTCACAGGTAAATAGTATCGATATGAATCGATACCTGCAATAGTTGCGTCATTAATCGACTAAGATCGGAATTCCATTGTTTCGTGCAATAATTCTAAGTTGCCAACATTTTATTGGATTGTAAACTCTATTTGTAGAATGGTATGACACATAATTGATTGTGTACACGCATACCGTTCAAGGTCGTAAACAGTTGAATTTCATATACATTCTGCTTGATAGAATATTTTGGTAGTTGCAGATGTCGATTCTAGCTTTATGTCTTCGTTATCCAAAGCTAATTGGGTAGTTTCCAGGGTACCAAAATTAAAAATCGAATTAGTCCGTCAGTTAGATAATAAAAAAATATTAGACATGTATTTTTTATTTTCTTGTATCACCTAAGTTGTAATACTTAGATAAAATGGCGCTAAGTTTAAGAGTGGGAGGTCGTTACGTCATAACGTGCTACAAAATGTGACACGCTGTGACGTCACACCATATTTCAAATTAATATATCGTCGAAAGTACCAAATTTTTTGAGAAAAGAAAAAATACGTATCTAAAGTTTTAAATTAATGTACCAGACGAACATTAAAATAAATTTTAGCCAGGAAACTACCCTATTATTTATGTGTGCGTGTGCAACACCGTAAAGTATGAAGTGTAATGACGGGCCATGTCACGCGACAGATGTCCTTCGTGTCAATGTGTGTGTATTCTGCGTGGAAGTCTGTAGTAGCCAGGTGCCACAGTCGTTGTTTGAAGATACTATGTCCGCCTTATTTCAACGTTCTTGGAAAATTGATGAACATTGTCATTTTTATCCAATGTAGGGTAACTTGCCTCTGGCCTCTTCCCCGTTTGACATTGATATCAACATCAACAACAGTCCTGTGTTAAAGTTTCCTCTATAAAATTAAACACTTTCTTTATAAAGAAAAAGCATGGTTAATTTGCAAACCTATTTTAGGTATTGTTTCAAAACATCGCCAACTGAAAGTCTCTACAAAATTGAACCAGTGTCTATAAAGTATGTATAACTCAAAGGCGGATTAAATGTAGGAAGCGCCCCAGCTAAGCGCTCTAAGGAGGCACCTCATTGGCGCCCCCTAAAAATTACCACTACCTATAACCAAGCTTATAAAATTAATTAACAAACAAACTAACCACAAAACTTTCTTTGTTACAGAACAAAAACACCAAAACAAACGAAAAACGATGAATTAAACCAGAAAAATCCGCTACCAAAATGTCGCATGCGCACTAAGCTGACCCAATCATGCGCAACTTTCTACCATCTTTGACAGTTTGACAAGTGACACAAAATGGCGCACAAAGTGAAGAACAATCATTATGTAGCGACGCACAGGTCGGGGGTCGATTCCCCGTCGTCTGGTGGGTACATTCATCGAGCTTCTTCGAGGGAGGAGAATGACAGTCACCGGGCACCTTCGGAACGCACGCTTTCAGAATATACGGTAAGTAGTATACGAAGTTCCTGACTCCAGGCTAATAACGGTCATTTTACTCTGAAAATGCCATTATCACTATTTGACCGGCACGGGCATCGAACCCGCGATACGTTGCACAGCAGCCGGTCACCAACCTGCGCCCAGCGTACAGTCTCTTCACCAACGTATAAGTACAGTGGCTAGCATATCAACCTACCCTAAAGTGTCAATTTTACTACGTACGTCGTAACACTTTGGCCGACCCGGGAATCGAACCCGAAACCTTGCTCGGCTTCGGCAGTCGGATTTGCGATGATTTGCGATGCGGCACTTAAAGAAGCAGACATCTCAATGTATTAAAATTAATCTAGATTTTCTTAAACAATTATTTTGAGAAGAACTACCGAAACAAAGTCAGAGGTCAAACAGTCACTTTTGAAGTCTTATTATAAAGACAATATAATTTGTTTATATTTGTGTAGGTAGTAGTTAATACGAAATAAAACATGCCGTACTATTTCAAAAATGTTTCAAGTACCGGCTGCAGTATTTAGATTCGCGCAAATGTCGATTGACGTAGGTAGACACATGTTACAAATTATCTAATAGACAGACAGACAGAGAAATATTTATTATTGTTTGACGGCAACATTATACGAGTGCAGTATCTATTGACAGGCATGATGTACAAAACATGGAATGCCAAGTAAATATCTGATTTAAAACTATTTTAGTCCCCACCGCAAGTTGCGAACGACTGGCGTTTTCATGCCAACAACCACATAAAATTGTATGAGGACGTAGGTGCGCGTGATTGTGATTAATTTTAGTTAAATTACTGGAATAATTGACATGTTTGTGTTTATGGATTTGACTTTTTTATGGGATAAGCCGGTAAACGAGCGGACGGATCACAAGTAAGCAATCGGCGTCGCCCATGGATAACCAGAACACCAGTGACGTTATAAGTGCGTCACTAGCCTTTTGGGGATTAGGAAATTGAGGATTATTGGGGATTCAGGGATTGAGGAGATTGGGAAACAGGGCGGGAGGTAATTGAGCATCCGGTAACCTCACTCACTCGACGAAATTCATATTTCTCGTCGGTTTTTTGTGACGCCGTGGTATAACTCCGGTCGAGCCGACCCATTTGTGCCGAAGCATGGCTCTCCCACACTTTAAAACTTAAAGAAATCAAATAAATGATCAAGCCACTGGCTAACGCGTACAGTCGTTCTGTAGTTTGATTTTTTACGGCAATATTGGTCTTTAATATGTTTTCATAATAACTATCGTGAGACATAATGACATGCCGAAGCATGGCTCTCCCACACTTAAGAGATAGCCACATAGGAAATTAGTGTGGAGGTTTTCTTAATCAATAACCATCAATCAATGTACTCATTAGAAATGTTCTAAAATCCTCGCGGGTGACACTGTAGAAGTAAAACTAGTGTTTTGCTTTTTAAAAGATCGTATTTTTAATTTTGGTATGGGATCCAAAACAGCTGTTTATGTCCCTATGATGGTCTTTGTGATCGCATCTGTTATTGACCCAGGTTTACAGGAGTTGCTGTGGTGAAGCAAATGCGGCAAGTCTGCCCATATAAAACTAATTGTATATTAAATTCTTTTGTGCTTTTTCCAGACGATGGACGAGAGGACCCGGTCACCATCAGGCGAGCACAGGAATGGCAGACGGCACCAGCACACGAACGGTTCTCCTAGAGCTGACTCCGGCTCTGATGTGTACGTCACCAGTGCAGCATACCGACCTCCTTCGGAAATCAGGTAAATATTGTTGAAGATTTTCTACGACTTAGTTTTGAAGGTTGATCAAAAGTACACAACCTTCTTTTTTTATTTCTGTTTATTTTAGGTACTACAAGATCTGAAAATCATTTAGTGGTCGAAACTAGTAGCTAGATTATCACTGAGAGGCATTATGAATAAGTATGCGATACTTTGAAGCTCACCAGTTTATCCATAATTTAACTCGAAGAAAGCACAATTTCTCCTGCATTTGGAGTCCATACGATGCCTCTTACTCACACCTACTCGCGTCCTGTCCGCGCTCAATAGTCTCATGGAAACCTACCCCGACTGTGACCTTCATGGACATGGATGGATACATGGACGAGTTTAAAGCTACTAAGAATGTTTGTCTCAGTGTTTGTAAAAATCTTTGAAGTCTGTCGGAAAGTTTTTAACTGTTTTGTTTTTATTTTATTGTGATGTAGGTACATTTTTATTTATCATCGACTATTGTGATTCTTTTTTAGGGTTTTTTCTTTTTATCCCGATTAAATGCTACCATGGGATAAAACAGGAATCATATTCTAAGCGCATAGTTATCAATAATAACACGCATAGCAACCAACACTAAAATATTTTGGCAAGGTTAGCATGTTTTGAAGCTGTTACAGCTTATCCATGGCTAATTCATGGTGTTGAACTATTATTGTACAGTTCAATGACTCGTGTAGATACACCGTTACCCTATATGAATCCCGTTAAGTCCTTAAATCTTACTAATTTAGTCCAACGGCTCTGTATACGTGCCCTCTGAATCTCATTGGGTATAGACGAGCGAAATGTATGCGCTTTTCATGTTAGAAATGTCCCCTGTGTTTTGTTTTGTAGTGTATTGTGGTTTTGGAGTACTTATTTTATGTACTAAAAGAAATCAAATAAATGATCAGGCAACTGGCTAACGCGTTCAGCCGTTCTGTAGTTTGATTTTTTACGGCAATATTGGTCTTTAACATGTTTTTATAATAACTATCGTGAGACATACATACTAAATTAACTACAAATCGTTACAAGTGAAAATATTGTGAAAAGCTCTCAGGGGTTCTTCCTCATGATCGGTGTGCACGATCGCGGCGATGTCACGCAGTCTACTCACGAGGTCGAACCCTACTGTCGGTCGAAACTAGTAGAGCTTTTCTCAGTATTTTTACGTGTAACCCGCGATTTTTGGGCTTCAACATATAAATTTTTCAACATTATCTACAATTTTGTAAATCGTTGATTTTTATTATTATTATTAAAGTGTAGTCAACAAAACTGCAGCTTTTCCAGACTTTTCTAACGTTTAGGTACATGTTGCAAGATTTGACCCAGTTTAAAAAAAAATCATGAAGGTAATAGGTATATGTACATAAGTAAGTACATTCCATTGCAAAAATACTTTTTATAAAATAGTACTGACTGTATTATTTCCTTTATACATTGACTCGTCTGCTTACCCCAGGTACTGAACAAAACATTTTCCATTAAACGTTAGAATTGATGGAAAATTGCTCAAAATGCAATTCAACGGTGCATTTATGAGTCACAGATACTGTTCCCTCGATGTAGAGGTACTTTGTTGCGTATGCGCACGCATGTTACGTAATAGCTAGGTATGTTTTTTTTTTGTAAAAAGAATATTTCTGTTATGATTTGCTCGTCGAGTTTTTTTTTATTTTTTTTAAATCGGTAAAGTAACAAACAAAAAGTCATAACTAAAAAGCAAAAAATAACTATTATTAGTACTGATAGGGTACCCACCCACTAATAGGTAAGAAGTCGGTGCCATAATTTCCATACAAAATTATTCATTAAAACCTTAATAGGTACCTAATTCACAATTTTGTGGACATTAAGTTATATCATTATGAAGTGAGCTTTAGAAGTCGGTAAAAATAGTATCGATTGTTGTCTAGTGTTGTTTGTTTTGGAATACGTACCTAAAACTTTGTTAGCCCAGCGACCCAAACTGGATCTTAGCTTCTGTTTCTTCGTAATTTCTAGGGTAGACGACTAATTTTTATTTTAATGTCCGTCTGATAGATTATTTAAAAACATTAGACACGTATTTTTTATTTTCTCACAGAAACGAATAGTTTCGAAGATATATTGATTTGAAATGTCGCGTGACGTCACTTCTCAGTACATTTTATACTAAGAAATGACGTTTTAGCCCCCACTCCTAAACTTTGATTCGTTTTATCTAAGTATTGTTTTATTATACGACAAAATAAAAAAATACGTGTCTAATATTTTTTTATTACCTAACTTACGGACTAATTATATTTTTAATTTTCATACCCTGTCATCATCCCCATTACCGGCTTTGGTACATATTGGATAAAAAGTATTCCTAACGTCAAATGATATAGAGGTATATGTTTTAAATAGCTTTCCAAATAGTAGACACGGTATGAAAATTAAAAATGTAATTAGTCCGTCAGTTAGATAGTGAAAAAATTATAGACACATTATTTTAATTTTTTTCGTATAAAAAAACAATACTTGAAACGGTGTTAAGTTTAAGAGTGGAAGGTCCTTACTATACGTCACGCTATCCTATAAAATGTAGTAAATCGTGACGTCACACGATATTTAATATCAATATATCGTCGAAAGTATTTAATTTTGCAAGCATAGATAATATACGTGTGCAATGTTTTAAAATAATCTACCAAACGGACATTAAAATAAAATTTACAATGCCACCCTATTCCAAATAATCATGCAGAATTTATGACTGTACACAGACAGGCAGATCCGTACCCGTATAAACTCCTGCAACCTAACCTACGAACTTATATCCTATGTAGGTATATCCTGTAGTATATCATACTTGCAACATTGTAAGAAGCTCTCTATCTACACGAAATGTTCGTTTAATACGAACAAACATACAGTTAGGTTGTAAATCATTGCTCATATAATTCAACGGGGCCCGCTCTGCAGACAGCGCAATGATGTCGCGACACGAGAATCGAACCCAGGCATCTGGGCCACGATTTATTGGCTCCCATGTATTTACGTCCCGGTTGGATCGAATGCTGTAGGTCGATTATATTTGTGTTTTGTCAGGGATGTACAATTTCTTTAAAAAAGTATGCGTACATAACATAGATAGAGTCTATGGAACGCCAATTGCTACGATTCTTGCATACATCTTTCGCTTCCTCAACAGTCTTTAGTCTTTCCATCTAATAATATAATTCTATCTAATCTAATATATAATTTTGTTTGGTTTTGTGAAATCAATTGTTTTCTGTATTAATAACAATTATATTAAATGTAATATATGTATAAATATCCCGAAACTGGAACCGGAACTTTCCCGAAAAAAATGTTGTAGTAAGGAAGTCTCCACTTTTTGTTTTTGTTCCTTGAAGTTTAGGTAAATTAGCTCACCTTTTTCCGATCACTGGTAATGTGTAAGTGCAGTGCTCTTGCGACCACTCGGCCAACGAGCCAGAAGAAAAGCTGTAGAGGATTTGATAAAATGAAAAAAGAAATTAGAGGCGTCGCTTCTTTGCTCCCAAATGTAGTTATCCAAGTTCCCAACATCATAAAAATGATGTCATGACAATATAAAACTACTAACAAAAAATCCTAATTCGGTACAGTGAACAAAAAAGGTAATTTATAAGAACCACCATACTTATATTGGACTGTAACGATGGTGGCAGGGTGAGACGAATTCACTGTACTTTCTCCGACCTGTCCTTGGGATAGCGTGAAGATACGGGAGTCGGTCAGGGCTGTCAAAGGTCTATGTAGATAATTCAAAATGTGCTTGAAAATGTCTTTTTGATTTTTAGAATATAATATTTGTAGGTACTAATGCATCGGATAGAAAAAGTTTTTAGTATTCCAAGATTGTATGCTATTTAAGTAAGACAGGCCAAAAAAAACATTTTCTTTTTCTGTAATCCGTCATTATAAACACTGTTAGCTTTAATCAACAACCACACACTCTATTAGTGAACTTTTTAAACCTTGATACCTAGTACCTACCTATCTAAAGTATTCATATAAGTATATGGAATAATCGACAGCACCAAATTGTGTTATTACAAATATCAGATTTCTGAATTTAGGACTTCATTTTATTCTCCACTAGTGACCCGCCCCGCCTTCGTACCGGTGCAATATGTATGTATTATACATTAAATCTTCCTGAAGAATCACACCTTATTTATTAAAAAAAACGCATTAAAATCCGTTGCGTAGTTTTAAAGATCTAAGCATACATAGGTAGGGACAGACAGACGGCATCTGCCGCATATGAAATGCATAGTATAAAACAAAGTCTATCTAGACTTTGTTTTATACTATACATTTCGTTGCATATTCATTCGAACTTATGTAAACACAGACTCCATACATAAAGAGAAAAGAGAAATAAATAGAAAGAGATCTCCATAAAAATAAATCCAAATGCCGCTTGCATCAACCCTACAACTTTATAGCAAGGTAGACAGAAGCCTATTGCTCTCTTTCGGTAATTCAATTGCATGACAAACTCCTTTGAGGGCCGCCGACCGAGGATGCATCGTTCCCATACATTCTTGTAGGTACTTATTTCATCTGTTTATTGATCTGATGGGATCTTTGCTACCAATTTAGATTATGTTTACTTTTCATTGTATCTTTTGTAGTTTTATTATTCGGTTACTTGTCTTCTACTGCCTCGTTGACCGAGTGGTCGCAAGTGTAACTGCTTGGCAAGGGGTCTCGGGTTCGATTCCCGGGTCAGCCAAAGTATTACTGGGTTTAAAAAAATCTTAGTAGTAGCATGGAGCCTCGAATTCTACCCGGTATATGGTAATAGGCTCACCCTCTAATAAATGGGACTCATAACATAGTTAAATAGTAAAAAGTGGGTGTTACATTGTACAGTGGCATTAAGTGCCGAAATGTGAACCTCTGCCTACCCCTTCAGGGGTGAAAGGCGTGATGTCGTGTTATGTTATGTTAGTCTTCTACTGTGTCAACAAACTTTTGTTATTTACATATAAATAATAATTGATTCTGTGTTGTTGTCATTGGTTAGAAAAATCGTTTTTAATTTCTCAATTTATTATGAGATTAATAAGAAAGACTACCTCGTTAGTATAATGGTCATAATTGTAATTGTCGAGCGAGGTTTAAGAAACGACAACTTGTCCCAATAGCACTATTCTGATCCAATAATCGGACCCGAGAGTACCCGAATTAGGCTGTCACTGGATTTATTGTTCCTTGTGCGTCCTGCTAAGGAATGGAATTCTTTGCCAGAGTCTGTGTTTCCCGAAAGGTATAACCTGGGTATCTTCAAAGCCCGAATGAATAGGATGGGCAGACGTGGTCCATAGACCGCATCATCGCTTACGACCAGTAGCCAAACGTCAGCCCATCAAAAATAAAGTCACAATTTTACAGAAGGTACCCTACTCAAACAAAACCTACAAAAATCTTCACGCACGGTTCTCCTTTATTGAAAAGTGTGGACAAACTATTGAGCTGTTAAAATTCCTTCTTTTTATAACCCCCTTCATTACGTCAGCAGCTAGTTAACTTTTTTCTTTTTTTAACCCTTTACTACTTACTTAAACTTTTTATAACGCTTGACACCTTATCTTTTAAATAAATATTTGATCATCACAGTGACTAAGGAGTTTTTGACACATATTTTTTTATTTATTTTTTAGTCTGGTAACTTTCTAAACTGTCAATGAATTAACAGAAAACTTGTAAAGGAATGTCCAATGATTTTTTTGTTTAGTTCTGAGTTTGTTTTCACAGTCAATGTGATTGGGATAAATTGGTCGTAGTTAGTTTAAAATTGTATACAGCTTTGTTTGTTATGAGGATGTTGACAGCTTGACATAAATGTCAATTTATAGGAATTTTAAAATAAGGATTTAAGTCTTTGTTAAACCTTCAAACTAATAGTTAATTCATTAGATTGGACATGTTTGAAAATAATAATACAAATTATTCTATTCTAACCAAAGTCTATGTGCTATACGCTCTAGCTAGCACACGCTAGCTTAGACTGGTGGGTACCTACTTTTAATTTGGAGGCTTTTCAATAGATCGTAATGTTTCAGTATTTCTGTCAAGGTCGTTAAAATAAAAGGCGGACGTAATGTCTTTTGAAAATGATTAAAGCACCAAAATGTCAGTGGTGTATTCATGTGTGCGTGTACTTGTAACACCGTAATGTATGAAGTGTAATGGCGAGCCATGCCACGCGACAGATGTCCTTCGTGTCAATGTGTGTGTATTCTGCGTGTAAGTGTATAGTAGCTAGGTGCCACAGTCGTTGTTTTAAGATATTGTGTCCTCCTTTTTTCTGTAGATTTTATTCCTAGATACCTAAGGAAATATGTGACCATTTCCTTGCTTGAAATACTTATGTGATAATCATAGTCACCATAGGCATATTAGAGAATCACACGACATACTTACTTTAACTAGTCTAACCAGAGTTCAATAATAACAGCTAAAGACCATATTGCACGCTTCAACAAGTGATCGTCGTGACATACGTGCGCTTAGATTAAGAGCGAGACGATGCGCGTGCGCACCGGCTTGGATACACACAGCGCTGTGGAACTAATGTCCCTGTCACGGATTGAGCTGTTTGCCCTAATCGCTGTTATAATAAGAAATAATACGTTGATGTATGGTTTTTGTCGAATAATGGTGATTATGGTGCCTAAAAACCTCGTTTTGTTGTTTCGGTTAGAAGAAAAAAAAGGACTTGAGTTTGAATCTGACGTCTCCAGTTATAATTGGTTACGGAATACCTCGCGGAATACCAATAATAGAGAGACGCTATGAAAATAATAGAGTTCTAAAAAAGCGGATAATTGCATGAGGTCCTATGTAATAAAAGGATTGTGATACCTATACCTTTATAGTTCTCTTTACGTCTAATTACCGATGGAGTTCTTCCAAAATTAAATAATTTCTTCATTACAGCCGGCAGTCCCGGGCGCCTCGCAGCGTGTACTCGTACCGAAGTGCAGTTGCTCCCTCTGTCGCCTCTACACACAGATCCAAAGTTTCCAGAAAGGTATGACTAGCCATGTCTTTTTTACGTGAAAAAACTGATGAAAATATTTTTTATAATAACTATCGTGAGATTATACTAAATTAACTAGAAATCGCAGCTCTAATAGTTTCGAACCTAAAAGAGCTTTTCTTTCCCGTGGTTCGAAACTAGTAGAGCTTTTCTCAGTATTTTCAAGTGAGTAACCCGCGATTTTTAGTTAATGATGAAAATATATTTAGCGAATGAAAACTACTTGATCCCGTAACCTGTCTTTCATATAAACTAAATAATGGTGGGTGATGGGTAAGCTATACTCTTGATTTCGGTCTATTACTGAATAACTGAAAAATCTTCAATACCTAATACCTTGCCTAACCATGGAATCATATCAGAGTTAGGCTTTATAATTATTATTGACTTCTAAGATACCTATCGTATTATCGGTTCCAGGCCGGAGTGAAGGTAGACGCGATGGCAGCTCCGAACCCGTTCTGTCCTAACGTGAAGGGCATGTGTTGCCTCATGCTGCTGCTGAACCTGGGCCTCATACTCGTCACGCTGGGTTTTGTCATCGTGCTGCAGTTCTTCGAACCATTGTTTGTATGGTAAGATTTATCTTTAATTTCTAATTACCTAAATCAAGCGCCTTTTTGAAAGGATGGAATTGGGTTCCCGGTAACCTCACTCACACAAATACAACTCGTTGTTTCATTCGGTTTACGGTGAGAATGTGGCATTATTTCACGTGAAAATAACATAACATAACATCACGCCTTTTATCCCTGAAGGGGTAGGTAGAGGTGCACATAATGCCACTGTCGCGGAGAACCTAACGGGTAACCGGGGCTCCGGCTCGACGTGCAGGAGAAGGAACGGGGTGGTTTTTAGTCAGTAAGAGTCTGACACTCCCTCCCGCCTCACCCAGGTGGGGGCAGTCATTCGATGATTTTCCCCCCTTAAAAAAAAAATGCCACTGTACAATGTAACACGCACTTTTCACTATTTATGTTACGAGTCCCATGTAATAGGGTGTGAGCCTATTGCCATATACCGGGCACAATTCCAAACTCCGTGCTACCACTGCGAATTTTTTAAAACCTAGTAATACTTTGCCCGACCCGGTAATCGAACCGGAGACCCCTTGCCTTGCAATCGCACTTACGACCAATCGGCCAACGAGGCAGCTCACTTTAAAATATGAATGTCTTATTATCGCTTGCTACTGCTATTGCTTTTTCTTTCTACGTTGTGGTCGACGAAAAGTCCCAAAATCGATAGTTTTGACATCACGTACGTACCTACATCATACCAGTTCAAATTCGTACTAACATTTATTCTGATCACTTCCAGGATTCTAGGCATAGTCTTCCTAATCTTCGGTTTCCTCACACTCCTGGGCAGCCTGATATATTGCGTCGTGCTATGCCGAGAGAACCCGTACCCACGGTACCCAGATGACTTCTACTGGACACACCACTGGTCGAAGACTATAGGACCGTCTGAGATCCATTATAGTGCTAGCGAAAAACAATATGTTAAGAATGGCCACAGCGACAGATATAATAATAAATATAATGGTAAATATTCTGATAGAGAAAGCGCTAAGGGTTATTCAGACAGAGAAAGTAAACTTAGTAGGTACTGATCATCTTGATATTCTTTTACCCGGTTTTTAATTAACCCAGAAATGTATGATGAAGTGGTGTTTACATTGGTTTTCGGTGTTTTGTAAATTGTAATGTAAATAGCGCTTTGAAAGACTCAGTCATCATTTTTACACCCAATTTTTAGACCTATAAAAGGGATGTTACGTCAGATAAATTAATGAAGTCATTTAAATTAAAACTTGGCGCAGAATGAGTAGAACAATTGTATATTGTTGGTATTCTCACAGTTGTTATTAGATATCTTTGATATTGTGTTTTGTACCATGAATAATTTTTATCTGATTGCGCATCTTTTTATCTTTGAACTCTATAATTGTACCTACCTACATAAAAGTTGTTCATTATTGAAATGATAGTCTGTTTTTTCAGTAAGCTAATAAATGTCTGTCTGTCTATCCACAAATCTATATATAAAAAATATCTACTAATGTTATTAAAATGTTGTCAATAAACCATTAAAGATATATTTATTAGTTTAGAATGATTATTTAGTTAATGTGTAGTAACAATTTGTACTTATCTTTATAGATTATATAAAAGATTTTAATTTAATGTAAATAATATGAATTAAGCATAAAAACACTCAGAATTAAATGCCATATTAATTTACCCGTTAATGTAGAGTGTTTAGTGTAAGTTAGGGAACATGGAATATAAAAAATGTATTATTTGTGAATAACAACGTAAAGTATCCGCTTCCCGCCAAAACAATATGGCTGCTGCTGCGCATAACTTGATGAATTTAATAAGCGCAGTGCGCAATGTAAGAGAAGCGGTCATATAGAAGGAATTGTACGTAAAATTATGTAAAAGAAGAACACTCAAAAAGTACATTAATTTACACGTAGAAGTTTTGCACCGTACATGATGTATCTTTAATGAAAGTATGTTTAGGTACCTTTTTATTGAAAATGAAACAAATAAATTACAATTGGATATGTATGTCTTGTAAAAATTGTGTGCGTATTTATCTCTTAATCTTTTGGATATGTCTGTCCACGGTGCAATCCTTCCCTGTCCAGTGTACTATAATTTTTAGAATGTAAACATCTAACCTGACTTTAATCGCCGAAATTAAAATATATTTTAAATAGATAAAATAAATAATTTTGTATAAAGTGTAACAAAATATTTGTTTTATTTCCACCCTTATTGCATCGATTTCCTCACCTGAGGTTGTAGGTTTAAAAAATAATAACAGCGAACTTTTGGTACAGCCTTTTGACCCCGTAAAGACAGTTGCTGATTGACAGACAGGGTGGTGAGTGACCTTGGCAAGGGTACAGAGTTACTTATAATTCTGCTGGAAGGTCAGCAGAAAACAATTTTCAAACTCTTCGAGATTTCGTACATTCAGGCAGGTGCATCTCTCTAACTCCGTATGCTCCACCCTGTCCTCTCGCAGTGAACTACTCCTGCTCTTCGAGCCGGAACCCCGGCAACCCGTTAGGCATTCCGCTGCTTCGTATCTCAATTTCGGCTCAATTTCAACCAAGATCATTAAACCCCTGTTCATCAATTACAAAATGATATATTCTCGGGTGGAAGGAGGGGTTGAAAATTCGGTACTTTTAGTTTTTAGAGTAGAAACGCTAGTTTCCGTGATAATTTGATTTTTATTTTAGATGGGATTTGTACAAAAATAATACACAAGTTTGGTGAAATTGTTCATTTATTTACAATTGTTAAAATTAACAAATTATATTGAGAAATTACATTTGTAACGTAAACATAAAGAAGTAACAATTAAACTAAATTTCATAGTGTTGCCCATAATGAAATATTACGATGAAAAATATTCATCTTAAACAAAAAAGAATTTATTATAAATGGGCATGTCATAGTCTCTAAAATACTAAAGAAAAAGAAAAACAGAAGGAATAAAGAAGTAAAGAAGAATCACTGGAATTTCCTTGTTACATTACAATTATTTACAATTTGTCATAAAAAATCTATAATTATCAGTTGCTCAAAAATCGACTATAAAAAATTCCAAATTTCCTGTCTTTGAGCATGAATGTGACAGACAATTATTTACCTAATTACAAACTAATTAGGTCTAAAATTATAAATAACTATTTATTTAAAACGTTGCGACTTCGCTCGCGAAACACTTATGACAGACGCTGTCATATTGACAAATCGACGATGTACATTACGCGATATATTGATTTGGAAGATCAAAGTTGGAAACTAAAAACGCAATGTATAACGTTGTATTGTCAAAGTGACAGATAGTGTTGCAGCAACAATGCTACGCAACAAGTCGCATGTTACAACGTATTTCTCAGATCAGTCCCAGACTGTATATACTGCCAGAGTGTATAAAAATAAAGTGTTTACCACCTAGTCAATACTAAATGATAAGAAAATATAACTGTTATGCCGTTTCTAACTTTACACCGTAAAGCTTAAGATCCAAAATCACGTTGTCACAATACTGTATCTGAAACAATAACATAGAGAAAATTACGTTTAATAAATAAAAAGTTGATAACCGACACTGAAAAATATGCACAGATAACTAAAAATACCACAAAAAGTGAAGTGTTTGACAAAAGAAAATTAGAACCATTCATTGTCAATTTGCCGACTAAATAAAGATCAATAAATATAACAAAAAGGGTATGCAAAAAGAATAATATTTATCAGATTCATGTATAAGGCGGAAGGCCGAATGGAAAACACTGTTCCCACGTAGTAACTTGATGTTACAAGTTCTGATAACATATTTCAAGAAGTCAAATCTTCTGGTTAGATTAGGTCAAATCTTAATGGTTAGGTTAGGTCAAATCTTATGGTTAGGTTAGGTCAAATCTTATGGTTAGGATAAGTTTTTTTGAGGGGAAAAAATCATCCAATGACTTCTCCCGCTTTGGGTGAGCCAAGAAAGAGTGTCAGACTCTTGCTAACTAAACTCTTTGAGCCTGAGCCCCGGTAAGTCTTCCAGGGCTTCGTAACGGGCATCAGCCCTACTGGGCCTCATGTTAGGTTAGGTTTTCAAAGTAATACTTACGGTTAATCACTCTCAGAATCACTGAAAGTGTATTTCTGTGCTGCCCGGGCTCGTGCCTGCGCGCGCGGTTGTACGGGTTCGCTTCCCGCAGCATCAGATTCAGATCCGCTTGAGACCTTCTTTTTAAGTTTCTTTTTTGGCGCTGCCTTCTTTTTTTGGTCCTGTAGATAAATGGACAATGTTAAATCTTCATACCAGATTTATCCGTTTACTGCTGAACATTCTACTTATCCTTACTAATATTATAAATCGGAAAGTGAGTTTGTTTGTTCCGCTTTCACGCCGTAACTACTAAACCGATTGCTTTGAAATTTTGCAGACGTAAAGTTAGAAGTCCGGATTAAATAATAGGGTACTTTTTATCCCGGAAAAATTTTATATTCCCGAGGGAAAACAAAAGTATTGGTATAGATGGCGCTGTGTGTATCGGTATATGTCACATAGGCAACTTTTTATCCTTTTGTGACGCGAGCGAAGCCGCGGGTAAAACCTAGTATTTTATAAATGCGATTTTTTTTATTATTCGTTACTTCATGCCAAAACGGCTGACGGGATCGGAATTAAATTTGTAAAAGGGGTAGATTATGGGCTGGAAAAACACATAAGACACTTTTATTCCAAAAGAACGCGGGCGAAGCTGCTGGCAGAAGCTAGTTAGAATCACAATAGCACGTCACTGAACGCAATCTTCGGCCGTTCACATCCGACCACTGCCAGCCACACGCAGGCGGCAGATACAAATGAGTAGGTAACGTGAAAGTGTGTAAGAAAATTTTTTGCAACCCATTAAAGGAAAAACTACATAAAAGAATATAATGAAACTTGGTACAAAGGTTGATTTATAGTCTGGAATACACATAGGGTAACGTTTATGCCAGTAACATAGGTAAAACCAGCAGAAGCCAACAGGAAATAATTTGATAAAGATCATAACTGACCAAAACTTCTTTACAGGGTGTGAACGGAAGGCTGTCAAACACGCAGACAGGTGATGGTAAAAAAAGTAAGGAATTAAATGTTTATTTTATGTAAGAATAGTTTGATTGTGATTCAAGTACACCTGTACTATGAACATACCTTTTTACTATCAAATATGCTGTCATCATCATCGTCACTGATCATATCCTTGGCTGGTCGTTTCTTGGGTTTCTCCTTCTTCTCTTCATTAAGGAGCTTCCGTTTAGGTCCTGGCTTCTTCTTGGGTGGAGACTCTGGAACCACCTCCTCATCACTGGAGAGTACTGTTGGGTGGGAGGCACCATTGTTCTTGGCTTGTGCTTTCTCTTTCTCTTCTTTCTTTGTGTCCTCGATCAAGGAGTCGAATAGGCAATCTGAAATATTGATTAGATTTAAAAGGTTAATCACATCAAAATTTAATGCATTACTTTTCAACAAGATTTGAGCCTATTTAAGTATTTATACTAAACTGTCAAACACAACGAGGACACCGGTGACCGCAACCTATTGTTCTTTAATTGTGTCTATAATGACGGTACTCAAAGGGTTAAGAGAGCTTGATTAATATAATGTAGCTACTGTCAATTTTCGATAACCAAACTAATTATTCTTTTATAAATAAACTATGTTTAAAAAACCGTAGTGGTTGAAAATACTAACCCCAGATATGCTAATCCGACATGAATCAATAAATTTGAAGAATCTCTTTACTAGCCCAAAAACAATGACTAGTAGACCCAAAAATGCACAAAATGTGTGTACACCAACCTGAATCCATCTCAGCGGGTTTCTTGCCGACGTTCTTCTTGACATTGAAGTCATCGTCATCATCATCGCTGACTGAGAGAGCTCGCGGCGCTTCAGCGTCAGAATCTATCTTGTTGTCCAACAGTTCCACGTCAGACGCTGACTCCGAATCATCTGAACCATCCTTGTATTTTTGAACCTAGGATTAAAGGAATGTTAACAAAAGCTTGCAAACCATAAATGAGTAAAACTACGTAATGAACCTTGGATTCATAAAATCAAATACAATGTGAAATACGCAGCTAATCAGATACCGGGTCAGCAAAGTTCTCTGATAAAACAGACCCTTTTAAAACAGCAATCTCCAACCACTTCTAAGCGTGGAGATAATGGCACACCCCTGTTTTGTATAGAACTAAAGTAGGTCTGTATGTCGTAGTCCGCTTCACATGCATGAGGGTACGCCTCCTAGCAAGTAACAATAGCAAGTACCAATGTGACATTATTTAGACATCACTGACAAACAGTTAAAAGTTTTCTAAGATTATTCAGACATCATTGACAAACGGTAAAAGAAAAAACATCGTGAACCCGCATTGAGCGAGCGTGGTGATTAATGCTCAAACCTCCGTGTGAGAAGAGGCCTTAGGTCAGCAGTGGCCACTTATAGGCTGTGATGTTGTGAAAGGAGGGCTGTGGACTGTTGATGGTGATGAAGATATAGTGATAAATATAGTAGTCCATTACCTTAGTAGCAGCGCGCCTGGCGTTGGCTCGCTCCCTGGGCGGCGGGGGCGCGGCCTCCAGCTCCACGTCGGAGCCCGACGCTGACGAACTACTGCCGCTGAACGTGGTGCGCTTCTGTACAACATATGCATTAATCAATTTAATACTAAAGCTCTGATGCCGTCATCACATGCCTATTTCAATGATTAGAAAGGAAGTTAGAGTTCTAAATCGAACTCTATAGCGAAATAATAAAACACACTAATTAATACACAATAAGCAACCTGCTGATATTTCAGTGTCTTATAAATAGTTTTGAATCGTAGTAATTAAAGTTCCGTAGTCTCTGCCTACCCATGGGAGACAAGCGTGAAGCTATGTATGTATATAATGTATTAATAGTTATGTTTTTAATCTCGATCAAACTACCACATCTTTATTACTAAAACAGAAACTGTTTAAAAGCCTATTTTATAAAGTAAAAACATGTAAAATGATTCATACCTTCTTAGGTTCCTTCTTGAATGTTAGTTTACTCTGTTTCAAGCCATCGCCCGTTCCCTTCTCTGGTTTTTCAGCCTTTTCAGGTTTTTCAGCCTTCTCCTTCTTGACGCGAGTTGCCTTCGGTTTCTTTTCAGCACTGATTGGACTGATGCCGGTTGGATCATCCTGTGGAAATGTGAATTGAAGTTAAATAGATGATACTAGGCAATTGTTAGTGTCTCTCTCTTTTCTGATTCTTCTGTTTTAATATTTAATTTAATGTTTTTCTTACTTCCATTGTCACACTTTTACTGTCTTTTTTTATATTTTACTTATGCTGCATCGTGTCTGGTGTTGAATAAATGTGTCTTATTTCTTTCTTTCAATGAAAAAAATTAAAACAATATAAAATACTAGCCACTTCCGCGGGGTTTCACCCGCTCTCCTTGTCGCCTAATGATAGTAGCGTGATATTTTATAGCCTATAGCCTTCCTCGATAAATGGACTATCCAACACATAAAGATTTTTTCAAATCAGCCCAGTAGTTCCTGAGATTAGCGCGTTTAAAAAAACAAACAAACAAAATCTTCAGCTTTATATGATAGTGTAAGATTTAATACACTTACCGGATCATATTCTTTCTTTATTTCTTTCCTAGTCTTCGCCTTCTCAGCCGCCTGGATCCTCTTGATGAGATCCTCAGAGATCTTGGGCTCCACTCGCCTGCCATTGTCCGATGGTGCGATGTCCATTAGAGACTTGCGGTTCTTCTTATTGGCGTTCTGTTAATTCATTAATATGTATTAATTACACTAAAATGTGAAACATTAACTCAAGGTCCACTGAGGCCTGAAAACAAACTCGTCCTAGAGTTTGTTTTACGTTTAAAAGTAATCGAAACGAGACCGTGTACAGCGCTGTGATTGGATGGTTTTGATGAGCCGGCCAATCAGAGGGCTTAGTACGAGTTTCTTTTTCGTTTAAAGTAATCGAAACGAGACGGCCTTCGGTGCCCTGATTGGTTTGTTCATTGGAGCCGGCCAATCACAGCACCGAACGCGTACTCGTTACGATACGACGCCTCAGAAAGAACATAGTGTCGTTGAACTTAAAATACCAGAGAGCTTCGTACGCAAAGCCCTCTGGTGTTTTAAGTAAGCCATTTGCGGGTTTAGACGTCTATGGAGAAGAACCAACATTATAACTTTAATCAATTAGCTATTAATTATAATAATAATGGTTTTATGTGCAATGGATATTTGACATTAAATCAGTTTATTAGATAATATTATTGTTACCTTAGCTTTTTCCTTCTATTTAGCATGAAATTATAGTAAACTGTTAAATACCAATACAAATACAAACAAAAAACAATAAAAATACTTTATTTCCCCTTCTGACCATTTCCCGTGTTGTATTTTTGTATAAACTTGTAGCGACATGCAATATTACCTTTACTCTTTCCATCTAGTTAGCATGAACAGAACGAAATATTTATTTTAAACGTTTTAATAATAAAACATACATTTAACAAACAATAATAAATTCTATCAATGTTGCTCACGAACTTCACGAAGTCATGATTTATCGAATTATGTTTATCGAGGATGCTCAACTGCTTTCAAGCCACACTGGGGGCTCATAGTCATAAGCAAGAAACATTGCGTGCGTCGGGCATAGTCGTGTGAAGAATTATTATGTTTTAAGGTATACTCACAATGGCCTTAGTAGTCTTTTTGTTGACAGACATTTCCTCTTGCCTCTCTTTTTCTTCAACATCCTCCAATTTTATTAAGAACTCGTCTAAATCTTCACGCCATAACATCGCTGCAGTTTTAGCTCTGCAAAAAGAGAAAATATGTATAAGAAGGTGGTAACCTGTAGATGGGAATTTTAATCATAGTAAGATGACTAAAGGTCCTGGAACTGAAACATTAGATTGCTAGTAAAACTTACATTTTAGACCACTTTTTGTTACAATTCCAAATACCTTTTGCTAACCATCACATCAGAATCGGACCAGAGACCCACTGTTAAACATCCCCCACTAGACCAATTAGGTGGGCTTTAGTAAGCAAATATGTATTAGTATCTTTTGAAATACAAAATACGTACTTGAGGGCATTAAGTTCGGATAATTTCTGATCTCTCTGCTTGAGGAGTTCATCTTTCTTCTCCTTGGTCAGCATCCACATGGACATGCCCAGCAGGTAGTTGAACTTCTTCACTTCTTTTAAGTTCTGGAATGCTTTCTCTGTAACAAATATGTGCAATAAGATAAGATAAGATAATTTTTATTGCAGCTAAAGTTACACATTGTACATTACAGTTACAGATGTTACTTGACATACATAGTTGACGTGAGTACAAAATACATGATCAATGACTCCCATGCTAGGAAAACCTAAAATATGATATGAAATAAGTACCATATCCATAATTAAGTCTAATATTGGAAATTAATAGGATAAAATGGTTAAGATTAATAAGAAATTGTTGCTGTTTGGGCTCAGTGAAATGGTCCTTAATTAACTCTTATAACACCTAAAGAGAAAAAAATAGACAGTGACAAATGTAGTGCACTCTGCAGTCAGTCAGGGTAACACACCAACTCATCCTTACTAATATTATAAATCTGAAAGTGAGTTTGTTTGTTTGTTCCACTTTCACGCCGTAACTACTAAACCGATTGCTTTGAATTTTTGCAGACGTAAAGTTAGAAGTCCGGATTAACCAATTTTTCCGGGTGTACCCACACCCGGAAAAATTTTATATTCCCGAGGAAAAACAAAAGTATTGGTATAGATGGCGCTGTGTGTATTGGTATATGTCAGATAGGCTACTTTTTATCCTTTTGTGACGCGAGCGAAGCCGCGGGTAAAAGCTAGTTTTATATATACCACGATGGAGGCAAGAAAGCACACAACCCACCAACAACTAGTGATTACTGGGGCGTATACGGGCAATAAATATTGCTAACAATAATTCCAAGTATCAATTTACCTGGATCAACAGGCTTGCCCTTCTCTTGTTCAGGTTCAGGCTCGTCTTCAGATTCCACCGGGTCATCCTCTATTGCTGTGAGTCCTTGCATCTTGCTTGCGCGCTTCTTCCATTCCGAAATGGGATCCGCGGCGTAACCTGGATGATAGAATAGGATTAGTTACCAAAATTAATAAATCTTTTTAGCTTTTAAGATTCCAATATGAAGAAATTTCAAGACATTACTTTCTTCATTATCACTTACCTCGTTTAATAAGTTCTTCCACCATGACTTTTCGTTTTTTGTTCTCTACCACAAGTCCTTTATCACATTTCTCCAGGATGAACCGCGCCTGGTTGGATAGTTTGTCAGCTTCGGCCTGTAACTGTCCTTCTCTGTACTCCTTACGACGAGCGTAGTACCGAAGTCTTAATTCGTAGAAGTCACGTAATATTTCTTCCACTTTATCGTACCTGGGTAAATATGGTGTTATGTTAGAAATTAGTTCTAGTGTAGAGTATAATAGTCGTAAGTAGGTCTTCATCCTGGCTTTATCCCAAGCTAAGTTAAAACATAACATCACGCCTTTTATCCCCATAGGCAGAGGTGCACACAGAAGTAACATCCACTTTTCACCATTTATGTTATGAGGCCCATGTAATAGGGGGTGAGCCTAATGCCATATACCGGGCACATTTCCAGACTCCGTGCTACTGAGATTTTTTTTAAAAGTCCACTAATACTTTGCCCTACCCGGGAAAAAGAAGTTTAAATGAAGTTAAAATAGTTAAAATGAAGAAGAACACCAATACTTACTTCTTAAGACAGCTGTTATGATCGAAGGCGTTCATACAGGTGAGTGAGATGGTAGTCTGCAACTTGAAGACCTTGTGGACTCCCTCCGCCTCCACCTCCGCCAACTTGCCGGGCAGGAGGCTCACCACGAACCTCACCGTGGTGTCTGTGTTGTATTCCTGGAATGTAATAACACAATATTAACATTTATTATTTTTTCTTTTATTTAAAAGTTGCCCCACACTAGGATTTTCTCCTGTCTCGTGGGTGCGTTTACAAACATACAAGTTCACATACACATAACACCCAGACCCGGAACAACAATCTGTGGATCATACAGAGTTGTTCCGTGCGGGAACCGAACCCACGACACGTTGCGCGGCAGCCGGTTCTCCAGCCACCGCGCCAACCATGCGTCAAAATTGATTGAAGTAGGTATAAAGAAATGGGGATGATGGCAGGGTATGAAAATTAAAAATATAATTAGTCCGTAAGTTAGGTAATGAAAAAATATTAGACACGTATTTTTTTATTTTGTCGTATAATAAAACAATACTTAGATAAAACGAATCAAAGTTTAGGAGTGTGGGCTAAAACGTCATTCCTTAGTATAAAATGTACTGAGAAGTGACGTCACGCGACATTTCAAATCAATATATCTTCGAAACTATTCGTTTCTGTGAGAAAATAAAAAATACGTGTCTAATGTTTTTAAATAATCTATCAGATTAAAATAAAAATTAGTCGTCTACCCCATTGTCTCCAATCTTTCTGGTGAACATTTCACAAATGTTGGAAGACAAAATCCGAAGGAGTGCTATTTATCATCAACAGCGAGTTCGATTCCCGCACGGAGCAACTCTGTGTGATCCATAAATTGCTGTTCCGGGTCTAATTTTATTATTTATTTATTTTTATTGCCTTGTCAACTTACCCTATATTCAGATATCATGGGCTTCACTTTGTCTGAACCCAATAAAGGTTCCAAGACATTCTCCTTATAATTCTGAGTCCAGGTACCGACAGGAAGCTCTGTGATTTCGATCTTTTCGCCAGGCAATATGGCTGCCTCACCAGATATGACGTATTTATCGCCGAAACCTTCAATGGTGCCACGGAAGTTCTTGTACCAGGGGTGCATCGGTTTTGGTTCCTCACCGTCTAACATTCGTCTGTAAAAATGTAAGATGCAGTCAAATTAACAGTCATTTACAAAGTCTGAACTTAATCATGTAATGGATATGACTAACGACATGGTGTGAAAGAGAATCCATTACCATACAGAGGAACTACAGAGATAAAGAGACGATGTCAGACCTCATTCTGCAACTAAGAATTTAAAAGACCCAGTAGTCAGATCATAGACTCTTTGCTCAGCAGTCAAACTGGTTGCCACTCAAGGACTGAACAAGTGAGCAGCCAGTCTAATTAACTGCAATACAGACTAATTAATTAAATACTATTTGTTATAGGTGAATAAAATTAAATAAAAGCTTGAACATCTTTAAGCCTCTTAGGGTTTCAATGCATACCTGATATTCTCGACAATATCCCTGGGGTTGTAGTTAGGTATCTTGGTGGACCAGCCAGTGCCGATACCTTCCGCGCCATTCACCAGCACCATAGGAATGATTGGGATGTACTGGACCGGCTCAATCTTTTGGTTATCTTCGAATTCGTGCTGGAAGACAATTTTATTGTGAAATATTAAATTTGATTTCAAAACATTCAATCTTTATTCAATTTAAATTATTTTATCTACTTACAACAAGTAACGGGTCATCATGTGGATGGAAGACAAGCCTCGTTAGTGGCGACATGAGAGTGAAGATATAACGGGGGCTAGCAGAGTCCTTGCCTCCGCAGAGTCGAGTACCGAACTGACCGCGCGGCTCCAGCAAATTAATATTGTTTGACCCCACGTAGTTTTGCGCCAAATTCACTATAGTCATCGCTAGAGACTGTTCACCTGTGAAGAGATGTTTGTTTTAGAAGTGTGGTAATGGAAGGAAGGTTAGAGTAGAAAAAGATATGGATCAGCTAAAGATAAACAATCTCAGAGCCGCGCGCCACCCATGGTCACCCACACGAAACATCAAAGGTATTATAAGATCATTGCCTTCCTTCCATCCATGGGATGGAAAGGATTAGACCTCTATTAATTCACTCATAGGACGAAAGACAACGCCCAAGTTATTTTACGCCGGGTTTTGACTTTGTTTTACAAACTTTTGTACAGCCCAGACTTCAAAACCACTAAACAAACATATGAACTTTCGATATTAAGAGTAAACTGTTGTCAAAGACATACTAACCATGATGGTAAGCAGAGTGTTCAGCGACGGAACCAGCCAACTGAGCCACTTTGACCTCTCGCTTGTCGTTACGTTTGATGCATGTGAAGATCACCTTACGCTGGCCAGGCTTCAATCCATCAATCATTGACGGTATTGACCTGAAAGAACATAAAGTACATTGTTATATTCTATCTATGATCTTATTTCAATGCAGTAGTTAATAAACAGGAATAATAAAGACTACCCACCTTACGTTATCTCCATTAGAGAAGAGTACCAGCTCCAAATTAACGAAATCGGAATATGTGACAGCTTTAGTATCCTTAGCATATAAATATCGCTCTGGAAGACCTATCTCTTTCCTTCGTTTCACTTCGTCCATGTGACTTGTTAGCCACTCTTTACGCTGGTCAGCACCTTTCTTTGAAAATGCCAACTCAATATGGTGGTCATCTGTAGGACCAGCATACTTAAACTTAATCCTGTGCCTTTCCATATTCTGGAAGTATTCTTTAGCCTCTTTGGATGTGGATGTACCCAAACCCTTGTAGTACTTTATATTGTATGTGTGATGGTTCTCTGTATTGTTCTTCCATTCTTCAAACTCGGGTAATGAGTAAAACGATATTTCCTTATCCTTCTTCGTAGCTTTTACGATAGGCGTAATAAATTCCTCTAAGAAGGGCAGTTTCAATAATTCTGGCCAATTGTGATGTATGAAGTTGATGATCAAACCTTTAATGTGAGATCCGTCCTGATCCTGATCAGCCATGATCATCACTTTACCATATCTCAATGATTTTAGATCATCTACAGAATTGTACTTCTTTTTGTACTGGAGTCCGAGGATTTTGATCAAGTTGTTGATTTCGACATTCTCTAACACTTGTTTATGTGATGCATCTCTTACATTGAGAGGTTTACCCTTCAGTGGGAAGACGCCATAATGATCTCGACCGACAACACCGAGTCCCGACACAGCCAAAGATTTAGCTGAGTCTCCCTCAGTGAGGATTAAAGTACAAAGATGCGCGTTCTTAGTACCAGCGTCGTTAGCGTCCTCCAGTTTTGGTATACCCTTCAGTTTGCTCTGTTTCTTACCAGATGCCTTCACTAACTCGGTCTGAGCCTTGAACTTGGCCCAAGTAAGTACAGACTCCACTAGACCAGATTTTGAAACTGCTGTTATGAATTTCTCTGAATAATTACATTTTGAACCAAAACTCTTTGCTTGAAGCGTCATGTACTCTTTTGTTTGTGAATCAAAGGTTGGGTTGACAATGAGGCAGTTGATGAACACCCACATGTGATTCTTAACTTGCACAGGTTTAATATTTACACCACCCTTATTCTTCTTTTTAATTATTTCTAGAACATTCTTAACTATACTATCGGAAACTGTATCAACATGTTTCCCGCCCTTTGTGGTAGCTATTGAGTTCACAAATGATACTTGTTGGAAGCCCTTGTCAGAAAGTGTCAATGCAAGTTCCCAACGATCATTCACTTTCTCGTAAACTACCTTCAAGGGTTGTCCATTTTCGTCTTCCTTGCCTTTTATGTATAAATCTACATAGTCTTTGAACTTATTAATCTTTAACCTTTCTCCATTAAGGTACACCTTAACGCCTTGAGTAGACATGGCTATGTCATAAGCTCGACGGGACATCAAAGCAACAATATCATCTTCTAACTTTTCCATCTTAAACTTTGCTAAATCGGGGCTGAATATTACTTTAGTGAAGTCGTCATCTTTGCCTGCCTCCTTCACCTTAGGTTCCGAAGCTTTTGTCATATTAGATCCCCATGTCTGTTTGAAATGTTTCTTGTACTGTTTAGACGCAGTTTCTACTGTGAACTTGGTTGAGAAAATGTTGCAAAGCTTGGCACCATATCCGTTTCTGCCTCCAGTAACTTTTTCCTCTTCATCATTGTAGTTTGAGGAGGTTAGAAGATGACCAAAAATCATAGTTGGTACAAACATTTTCTCTTCTTTGTGCATAACCACAGGGATACCACATCCATTATTGTAAACTGATATGACATTTTGTTCTTGGTTGATGTCAATTTTAATGACATCCATTTTCGGATCCCTCTGTTTGTTATCAGCTGCGTTGACTAAGATTTCATCATAAATTTTGTATAAACCTGTAAAAGCATGTATTTCATTAGATGATGCAATCAATGACTAAGATAAAGTTATAGTATCATAGTTCTTGTACTTACCAGGCACAAAGTTCAATTCCCTTTGCACCATACATTCCTTGGACTTGTCAAAGACCCACATCAGCTCTGTGGTCCGTTCTACAGACCCAATATAAGTGTCGGGACGTAGTAGAATGTGTTCCAATTGTGTTTTCTTTTGATAAATCTTTTCAATTGTGCCTTTCTGTCCCTTAGCGGGAGCTGCGGGCGCCGGCGCCTCCTCCGTGGAGCCATTCTGCGCCGCACTATTCATTTTATTGAACATAGCCTGGAATGATAGTCGATAATATATGAATAACATACTACATACCAATAACACAAAAGTTTTTGGTCATTGAAACAAGACATTTAATAAGCATTACTAAATAAAAATGAAGATAAAGCAGTGATTTAAGGTGTAATAGTACTTTGAAATGTTCAAATACATCTTTGGTACTTATTTAGATAAAAAGTTATATTGAAAGCTGATACATAGAGATAATCAAATATTTCTTTACAATATACCTAAACAGCAGGTGCATGATAACAATCTTACAAAAGAAATGATCAGTAAATTTCAAAATTATTCAAATTAAAGCAGTTAGGACCTCTGCAATGAGGGTAGTTCGAGTACCGAAAATATTTCATTTATGCAACAAAATTTTGATTGAAATGCAAACTTTAATCGTTCGGCACACGGAAAATAATGCAGAATTCCAAGAACAAGGTCAAAACATGAAGTGCAGCTGCTAGGACATGACAATGATACCAAACATGTTTTATTATTTTCATACGTGTATTTCTTACATAGAAGTAATAATTCTATGTACATAGAATCGCAGATTTCTATGTTCATGGACCATAATAATATATGTTTCAATAACAAAGTGAATAACTAATATTAAAGTCGCAAATATTAAAACAAATTCGGCCGTTACCAATTAAAATGCCGCCAAATGCATCGCTTACCTTTATATCAGCCATCTTGTTAGAGGTGCTAATAAAACGCGTGCGATCAACGCGAAATAGCGTTTGTTTTGCTACCAGAACAAAATGAGCACTAATGATGTTCGCCTGTAGAAAATAACATTTTATCTAAGTTTTATTTTGCAATTTTACAACCGCAATCCAACAACGAAGACGCCAAGAATACTAATAGACAATATTGTATTCTTTTTTAAATTGTTGATTCGACATCTTGTCCTCTATGGCGTATCTATGCCATAGATGAAAAAGAAAAATAAAGACGAAACCAAGAAGCAGCTATATTATGCATAGCGTGCATAACAGGTACCTAACGTGTATTCTTTTTATCAAAACTATATTTGTAATTGCATTAATTACGATCTAATGATCACAGAATTTGATGACCCAGTGTCTGTGTCGAGTGTCGTAGCACATAACAATAGCAATGGATTATGGATAAGCCAGAAGAAGCACAGATTACTATATACTAGGAGAAGGGTAATAAGGAAAATATGTTTATAACTTTCGTGAGACATACTTAATTAATTTTCATGTTTTTCGGCATATTCACGCGGAATACTGCTTGAGCCTCTTGCATGGCTTGAGATTAGTTCAAATTAGTCAAGTTCCTCGACGTGAGTAAGCCGAAAAACATAATAATAAAAATAACTCTTGGTTTACCCACCCGTAACCCGTTCTAGCTAAAAATTTAGGGACTACCTAACTTACATATGTATTTCAATTGAAAATATTAGTTGGACATTAGGTATGTCCAACTACTATGTCCAAGTACAGTACAAGTACTAGAGCAAAAGCCAAATAGCCAATGTTGGACATTTCTCAAAGTGACATTGCTTTCCATCTGTCATAGTAGTACTCTCGTCTTATTGTCAATTATTCTTTTAGGTTATAAAGTCTTATTTGAATCTTTTTTAGAATTAAGTTATCTTAAAACATAATAAAATGTCTCTATTATCGTACGCTTCAACTGTGCTGAGGCGAGCAGCCGCCTCGAGACTCTTTACTAAATATAAAACTTGCATAAATAATACAAAAACTGCAACTTACAGCAGTGTAACAACCAAAACAATTCACGACGTGAATACAAAAGTTATTAAAGATGTTATTCTGTTTAAATATGAGAATCCAAAATTTTTTATGTACATGAATATATTTGCAGTAGTGCAGTATATGTTTTGGATGTATTTGGGTATGTTTTCATTCTCAACACTGCGCGACGCGCCGGTCGACAAATCTACTATAACTGATGATACGCCTTGGTTTAGAAGGATAAATCTTGGAGAGAATAAGTACAGAAATACTCTCGGTACCGTCTCTGTAGTTGTTGGTGAGTCCATGTTGTAACAGACAAATAATTTTTTATTTTTGATATTGGTATAAAGATGTACTGCGAGATGCTGTTTCCTAATAAGAATGTAATATATTGTGTCGATGACGAACTATTCTCTTTCTTAAATTTCAAACTCACTCACAATTTTGGCAAGAAATAACCATCAATTTCCTTTCATGTGCCCTCTGTGTCAACACAATATTATTTAACTTGTTCACTAACACAATATATACTTTTTGCAGGAGTTGGATCTCTGTTCATGATCTGGATGTACACTCTCCGTTCAGTTCGCTATCTAATACTGAACAAAGGTGGGAAGCATTTAACTTTTGTCACATACACACCTTTTGGAAAAAACAGGATGATGACCGTTCCTATAGAAAATATCTGTTGCAAAGAGTCAAGGAATATTGCTAAAGTACAATTACCTTTGAAAATTAAAAATAGATGGATGCATTATATGCTTGACATGAGAGGAGAGTTCAAAAATCCCCTGCTTTTTGACTCAACTGCGGGGTTATTGAGGAAATGGTGAAGATCCTAGTCTATAATGTTATAATTGGGTACTTGTCTACATCAAAAATAATTTATTTCGACTGTTCAATACAATAATATATTAAAAAATATCCACACTTTCATCAATTGATTTTATGACTTACACTAATATATTACAAAATATCCTTGACAATAATATATTAAAAAATATCCACACTTTCATCAATTGAGTATTTTTCCAGCAAATTTAAAAAAAAATTAGTATGCTGTTTGACATTAAAAAAATGTGACGTCACAATACACAATCTCGTACAAAACTCATAGGAAACTGTTGTTTTCCTCTATACTTACTATACTCTTTGACTGTTGTTTTTGACAGTTCGAAAAAAGTATTGAATTTGACTAGTTGGCAAGTACCCAATGTCTTTTTTGTATTTATTGTAAAATGTAAATATAGTTTTTAATGTATTATGAATTTTGTTCTTATTTTAACCAATGTATATTGATTATAACTTTTCAGCGTACTCATGTGACTATTTGAAGCCATGCATGCTATAGGCTCGTAGTTACGTAAGCCGAAAACATAATAATTAATTTAGTATGTCTCACGGAAGTTATAATATAAACAAACTAGCTGTTTCCCGCGATTTCGTCCGCGTAAAATAATAAGTAGAAAGTGGGATTTTGAATAAGTCTTTGCCAAGATATATTCTACAGTAGCTGTCATCAGAATCGATTCAGTACTTGGGTTTAATTTATTGCAAAATGAATTTATTTTCATGGTGTCAAAATAGAAACAATCCCATTGACAGGTTTTACCTGGTTTTACCTATACAGTGCCCGTCTCATGAGGTTTCAGTGACATTTTACTCTCAAGACTGAGGGTGAATTCACTATGCTAACATTTCAGACTTACAAAAAATAAAACAACTTGTAAGATTTATCAGAAAAATCTTTATTATTTGTTTATAATTATATTAACGGAAATACGTCGTCTCGTCTCAACACAAAAATAAAGAAGTACAATCAATAACAAAAAATAAAATTCTTTTTTTTTATTTACAGTGCCGATTTCATCTTTTAAATGGTAAATGCAAATATTGTATACTTTATTTGTGTATTCAATCTTTTGACCAGCCAATATCACTACCAAACTCCTACGCTATATTTGCACCTACCATAGACAATAAAAAAGTAAATAATAAAAATGAAAGTCTTTTCAATATCGTAGACAAGTCATTTTACATCAACTTAATGAGATACATTAGGGTTATTTTGCACTTGCAACACAATAGGTTCCAAATTTAAAATTATGTACATAGATGCCATGAAACAAAGAATTGTAACTCTATAGTTAATCCTCACGCTACGTTAATGTGGACTATACTGAAGCGGGCATTCCGTCAACTTGCCTGGCCGCAAGCAGGAATGAAAGTCCCTTACTAACTTATATTTTCTACCATTTTCAGTCACTTCCAAGTTAGTAATTAGAGTTACTTTTATATACAACGCATTGTATTGTATTGCAAGTACACAATAGAGAATTACCTATCACATCTAATCACCTACTGACAATTTCTGATTAATTCTACAAATGCTTTTACTAGCTTGCTACAACAAGCTACGAAGGATCGATGTAGTCTAATATCAGATTAAAAAAATACATACACCTAGATGAGGTTACGAGTGTGATTTCCTTGTAGAATTTTCATTCAAGAATCGTCTCAATTTGAGTAGGGCACGCCACGTTTACATTTGTTAACAGTTATAGAAACATCTTGTTACAAAAAAGACCAAGGTCTTCGATGCCCTATTAAACAAAACTTTAAATTTACTCCGCACACTAGCGACATCTGAGACATAGAAAAAATAATGAAAATCCAACATGGAACTGACAATCGTGAAGAACAATATTTCAAACCTCTTTAGATAAAAAGTGTTTAATATAATTAAAGTTTAAATGGAAGAAGTGACGTCATCGATCCTTGAGAACTATAAAATTAAGTACAATATTATTTCTTATTTACAATAAAGTCATAAATATTTAATGTACTATAATAATAAGTTAATGTTTAAGGCCCGCGTTGTCGCGGGAAGCAGTGTGCAAGATGGAGTTAGATTACACAATGGTTAGGACTTTTTTGTTTTTAACCTTTTGAACTCTACTGTTAGCTACAGACAACAAACAAAATGAATTAAAAATAAAAAGAGTTTCTTGGCAATGACTGACAGTGGCAGATTGGCCCAATTTTGGCAGGTTTTATTTGTTGTCTATGACTGACCGTGGCGCTCAAAAGGTTTGAAAACTTGGGTCAAATGTCCGCCATTGTGTAAACGATCTCCTGGTAAGCCATCACAAGAGATGACACAATTATTATACGGTTTTTCATGCATTGTCACACTGCATTGCAGTTACACTTACTTTCAGCTTTCCCTCTATTTTCATTGATTTTTTTTGTATCATATCATAAAACTATGCTAACAATATTGTTTATAATCACATATTAACTATGCATATAAATAAAGATAATTATAATAAATATTAAAGATTTTATTGAGAAATGTTTGTACGAGAACTCAAAGTGGCTAGATATTTTAAATTACTACGGAAAAAACTGTACATTTCAATATGAAAAGACTTGAAGTTATGGTTAAGTTGTGTGCATTTATATTTAAAAAGATTATTTAAGAAAGGCGGGAATTAAACCTAAGATTGTCCTGATAAACGTAGGTAAAATGGACATAGGTATTATATTATTTTATAAAAACATCAAAGACTTTAATAAATCGCTTCACTTTGTTGTGTCAGGTCTAGTCAGAAATCTGATCAGGTACAGTCCACCACAAAAATATAACTTTCAATTCAATAATAATTTTATTAGTTCACTACTGATTAGAGTGCTTGACTGTACCAGATAATATTAATAGGTAGTAAGAGTATTTTTAAAGTGATATTTTAGTGGCTTTTCATAATTTTATTTTTAAGCTTAACTTTCGTGGCCGCTTAGGTAAACTTAAACAAAATTAAGTACGTAAAACACGCCATAGTTAAAAAAACACTTAACCCGTCGAGTGTCCGCGTTCCTTATGATCCAACGGGTGCACACGTGACATTTGGAGAAAGAAAGAAAGAAAACGCATTTATTTGGCCATTGGCACACGAAAACAAGGATCATTACAATAGAAATAAAAAATACAGTCAAAATAAAAAAATAATAATAGATTTTATAAAGGAGAAAGCAGCATGGAGCATTTTTTCTTATGATCCACCGGGTGCTCATAAGGACGCTCGAGGGGTTAATTGCTCTTCTTACAAAATTTTTAGGGAAAATTTCTGCCCTCTCATCATTTAATTGAAATATTTAAAAACGTTCCCAAATAATCTTGATCATTCATCAGTCTATCACCTTATTAAGTCTCAGTCAACAACAAAAGAAAACAAAAGTTCAATAGAAAAAAAACAAATTATTTTGTACTCAATCATGTTACCAAGCACACTTTCATAATAATTTCAAATTTTAGTCAAATGAAGTTGATGTAAAAGTTCAAAAGTCATGTCTCACATAATTTTTGTCCTTATTTGTAATTAATTAAAGAATCATCTACATGTCATACGCTGAAAATGCTGAAATACTCAAACGCTACTCAACTTAAGTCGCGGTTAAGTATAGTTGTCATTACAATTTATTTGTAAAATGACGGGGATAGCACGATATTTAATTACAACTTAAAATGGAGCAGCCTTTCAGTATTAGGACGATAATTTCACAATTGTCAAAAAACCTTTTTTCGCTAATCCTGCCCTCTGTTGAAAAAATATTGAATTACACATATCATACTGTCACAGACTGAATGAGTTATAAAGATGTTTTATCGCAAACAGAATATTCGCGCAAACAAAATTATAGCTTTAATTTATTTATAGTACACATTTGTTATTTTTAACAGTCAAGCGCAATTGGCAAAGTAAAGACGTATGACAGAGTCATTTAGTCATAATATTTTACATAGGTATATAAAAGAATAATGGCTGAATACAACAATATTTACATATCAGTGTAATATTATACATATTTTTTATTTACTATGAATTCTACTGATTTATAAAAACACATAGGTATTGTGTAAACATTATTTTCGGGGGGAAACATCACACTTCACAGTCGCCATGACACCTTAAAATGTCAGATGTCATTTTTACGTCAAAAACGGGCCGAGAGTCTCAAAAAGGCAAAGATACAGCTTTTTAAATCCTCTGCGAAGTCAAATGAGCATAAGGCATTTTTAGTGCAGTTTTAAAGATTTGTAAGAACAACGTAGTTTCCCCAATGAAACAAAAAAGCAATATTCTATTCATTAGCGTGTCAAATACACGAGTTATTAAATAGATATAGTACAGTTAATTATTTTACATTAATTTAGCCACAAAGAGGCGAACGTTCTTTCTTACATTTAGATCTAAAATATCCCTTTTTCTAGTAGAGGCGAAGTTCACTTTATATCACAAATCTCCAACTGTCATCCGTTATTTTTAAATTCACTTATACTCAAGAGTTATGTTATACGACAATCTGTCACAATTATAGACACATATTACAGATAAATATAACATTTTGAATGAGAATTGAAGCTAAAACTTGCACTTCAACTATACTATTATAATAATAAACATCAATAAATACGGAAAAGATACGTCAAAAACATTTGAATCTGGTTTAAAACTATTACTTTTAACACGTGGAGAAAAATAGTTCTTTTGTAGTCTGTATTTAGTGTTCATTTTCACTTTTGAGTACCTAGGACCTAGGTACAGAGTAAGTACTGGATTTTTGAAGTACATTTCGCCAGTATGTCAGGTTGTGATAGTTTAGTACCTACGGTCGCGACGCCGGCGTCAGTCGGATAGGTACCGGTCCGGCTGTTGGTCCCGGTCGTCATCCCGGGTAGGACTTATGCTGTCTATCTCGTCTACCTCCTCGAGATTCTTCGTGCTGGGGTTGCAGAGCCTGGAATGTGGAGATATGGATGTTAATGACAAAAACGAAACGCTTTTGCTCGAAAAGGGTAGATTTCCTATGGTATAGTCTGGAATCTGACCTGATTTGAGAATCGAACCTAAGAGCTCTGACTAATCAATACCTGAAACCTCTCACCCAGGGCGTACAACAATACAAAGATAGACACCTCATATTAAAATTTAAATATCATTCAGGGCTGCATTACCATCACCTGATGGCTTCAAAGGTGAATAGAATATTTTAGACAGTATATTTACCTGCACTTGCAACAGACGATGCAGGGCGCTGCCAACAAGAGGAGCGGGCTGGCCACCAACAGCAACAGTCCGAAGCCTGCAAATATTCCTACCACCTGGAAAACCAAACACAACTGCATGAGTTAAGGTGCTTTTGCATAGAATGAAAATAGTTGCCATTGAGATAAATATTCGTTAGTATACTCTGCAGTACCTACGTGGAACTTGTGAAAACTTAACCAATGATTATGAAGGAGTCTTGATCATCACAAAATAATTGTAATTGTTGAGGTACACTCCACACTGGTACATACCTGTGCACGGTGCCATAGTACAGATGCGCGTGAGTGTCCCAATTTGTTCTTGCACGGTCCTTTATCATAGTGCCGCAACAGAAAATCATCCTGTAACCAAAGAAACAATGCTAAGTTTGTATAAGTACTGATTTATTAAATTGATGCGACAGTTCATTGTTGGATTATGGGCCTTCAGCCTCCTCCAATGACGGCGAGCACGGGTATCTCGCCGCCCGACCAGAACCAGGTGAGCGTACGGCGCGGGCGCAACGCTTTTAGTTCTCAAAGAGCCATCAGACCACCGCACTACACCAATAGGGCTGATGCCGATATGGAGCCGCCGAGGATTCAACGGGTTGCCGGGGCTACGGGTCGAAGTGCAGGAGTAGGAACGTGGTGGTGGTCTGACACTCCTTCTCGCCTTACCCGGGCAGGAAGAGTCATTGGATGATTGTCCCTTGTCAAAAAAGCCTCCTCCAATAGTTATAAGAGGGCTTTCCATAATCGTCAAGTGATATGGTGGATCACAGTTTAAAAAAATGAGATGTCTTGTATAACTAAGTTTCTAGCTCTACACACATTAACTTCACAAATTTTCCACCTCATTCGGAATGCGTGGTTTGGCCATTATTTGAGGAAAGAAAAGGCTATTGCTCAGATTTAAGAATTTATAAAGCTGTTTACTGATTCAAAAGTCAGTCCCAATCGTACATGTAAATAATAATTGATTACACCCGGCAAAAATCTCCGAGACAGAACCACCACACCAAATCCAAAGGTCACGGCTTCTTTAAAGTTCACACATTTCTCATTATTCGTAAGAAACATGCGAGTTAATACTTGTAATGGCATTTTCCGAGACAACACAATGAATGATTGTAAACACGCAATTTTTTGCGTTCTATAAAAATATTGCCTCACACTAGGATTTTCTCCTATGTTGAGGGTGCGTTTACAAGCACAAAAATTCACATACACATCACACCCAGACCCAGAACAACAATTTTTTGATTACACAAAGAGTTGCTCCGAGAGCGATTCGAACCCGATACGGACCTCTTAATTTGAAAGACACTTTTTTTTAAGGGGGGAAAACCATCGAATGACTGCTCCCGCCTGGGTGAGGCGGGAGGGAGTGTCAGACTCTTACTGACTAAAAACTACCCCGTTCCTTCTCCTGCACGTCGAGCCGGAGCCCCGGTTACCCGTTAGGTTCTCCGCGACATTTGAAAGACACTTAAGTACCAATGGAAGAGTTTTATACCACACATTGATTAGCTGATGATTTAACAAAGGGCCTGTGAACCACAAGTTAAACAAACGCTAATATAACACGTAATTAGTAGGACCATCATTGTTTAATGTTTGTGGCGCGTCGTAAATCACATTTAGCATGCGCGCTATACGTGTCAAGGGAAGTATGGCTGCGGTGGTTTTTCTGCCAATAATTAAAAGACAAAGTATGTTTTGTTGACAACACTAACTAATGTCTGTACATTTAGGATTCATTGTATTTGTGTGGTAAGTGTACAAACATTAAATAATTTGCAATGATTTGTAGTAGATAAGTAGGATTCAATATCGTATTTTAAATGAGAAATGACGCTTAGTGACTTTAACAAATCAAATGTATCAGACAGCTAGTAATATTATGTTCCGTACTGCAGTAGTATTACGCTCCTTTACAAAGGCAATGTTAATAATTTATGTCAAAAATTCATGTCACATTAGCCCATTAACAAAACAATCATATTCCATAAAAATCACTAGTCTCTGTTTGTACCAAAATATAAACAGCCCTATAAACAGCTAATAGCCCAAGAAAGACGGTCCAAATAGTAAAATCACCATACACAATTCACAATTGAACAAGTAAAGGTTGTTTTTTTTTTATTCCTTTTAAATTTTAGGGACTTTTATACCGCACAGCGTATGTCAGTCCCATCGTTACCTAATAAGGTATAAATCAACTAGAGATCAATGAATCAGAGCCAAGAAGTAAAGGTTATTACAGCAATTATATAGACTAACAACCTATGTTATCATACCAAAAATAAATAAACGGTATACTTACATCAAGCGAAGCCAAGCAGTACCAGCAAAAGACGTGTTTGCACCGCTTGCACATCATCTGCGCGCATCCTTCATCCTTCTCAATAGGCACCCGGCACATGGGGCACAGTTTGATGAGTTCGGAGTCAGGCAGTAAAGGGGCACCAGCACCGCCCATGGATGATGACGCTGCTGCAGCTTCACAGGATAGACCTCCGTGCCACTAGAAAAGAATGATGAAACTTTAAGAAATTATGTTTTGTAGAACTGTCGGCCCGTTGGTAACACCAGACGTTTTTATTGCGTGGATTAATTTTTATATCATAACATAACATCGCCTTTTATCAGTAGGCAGAGGTGCACATTACGGCACTTCATGCCACGGTACAATGTGACACCCACTTTTCACGGTTTTATGTTTATGATTTCCATGTAATAGGGGGCGACCTTATTGCAATATACCGGACATATTTCCAGACTCCGTGCTACTACTGAGAAATTAAAAAAAACCCACAAATACTTAGCCCGACCCGGGAATTAACCCCGAGACCCGGCCAAGGGTTTCACTTCCGACTCTACTTCACTCGGCGAAAGAGGTAGTCAAAGAGATTAATTTTTATATTTCAACGATCTTTTAGTAACAAATAATATTTTTCCAAGGCTTTTGAAAGGTTTTTGGGAAAAGTAAAACCTATTCCACACTATTGAATTTATTTTGCTATTTCAAAATAGTCAGATTAATATAAATATAGGTAAATTCAGCCTTGCTTTTGACAATGCTAGCTTACAGGGACACGAAGCAACTGAACTGGGGTAACAAATTCAGTCTAAACCCTTTGAACGCAGCTTTGATTTACACGAGAATTGTGGCGCTATCCCAAAAAACAAGGTATTACATAATTTTCCGAAAATTCTGACATAATATTAAAAGACACCTTCAAAGCCTAAAATGTAAAGGTCAGGTCTTTTATCTAATTTTAGACTGCTATTTTTAAACATTTTATGTTAGAACTTTACAGCGGTTCGACATAAAAATTACAACCTGTTAAAGTTTTTCTTTTTTACGAAATAAAAAAAGGGAACATACCTATTCTATTTTTGGTCGAATTCGGAGTTGTTGTTTTGGAGTCTTTAAATTTATATGCTTATATAATATGCATACTAATAATAATATGTGCATAAAAAGCTGCAAAAACTAATCTACGAAATCTCTAGAAGTATTAGTCCGAAGGCGAAAATTAATTAAAGATTGATAGATAAATTCTGTGTGAATATGATATGAAAAACAGAGGTTGTCCTGCGACTTTATATGGGGGAGCATGGAAAAACAAATGCTGCTCTGATCCCAAGTAATTTGGCATAGGGGCAGGATGAATAATCTCGTGTTCATGAATAAATATTATAAAGAGTACTTTTTTTTAAGGGGGGAAAATCTTCGAATGTCTCCTCCCGCCTGGGTGAGGCGAGAGGGAGTGTCAGACTCTTACTGACTAAAAACCACCCCGTTCCTTCTCCTGCGCTTCGAGCCGGAGCCCTGGTAACCCGTTAGGTTCTCCGCGACATTATAAAGAGTACTTAGGATTTAAAAAAAAAACTCAGTAGTAGCACGGGGTCAGGAATTGTGCTCGGTATATGGCAATAGACTCACCCCCTATACATGGGACACATAACATGAATAGTGAAAAGTGGGTGTTATATTTTACAGTGGCAAAAAATGCCTCCTCTCTCTACCCCTTTGGGGAAAAAGGCGTGATGTTATGTTATGTTACTTAGGATCACGATTCAATATTAAGAACAGAGTAACATAATTACTATGTAGTTTAAACTACTAGAAACAGAAGGTTCTGTCTACACCAATACACGTGGCCATAAAAGATGAATGTTCTAAAAATAGTGTCAATATAAGTCTTTCAGAAGGCATTCAAAAGGACAAATCCTGGTTCAGACGACAAATCCGCCATCAAAGCGGGATAACAGTCGCTCAAAATGAAAGGATAAAGAGTTGCGCTTTGAATACAAAATTATCCACGATGAAACGTTGGTTGAGGCATATTACTATTTTAGTGTAAGAAAATGTTTAGAAGTATCATGTTACAGTTTAATATATATTATGGCTTTTATTATACGAAGGTAATTAATTTAAAAAATAAATTTGATAATAATTTAAACCCACTCAACGTCAATAGACATCACAGTAGGCCCAGAAGGAGATGGATAAACTTGACGCCTATAAAAAGGGTTGGCCACAGAATGCTATAAGAAGAGATGAGTGGAAGGAAGATAGGGAGGCCTTTGCCCTGCAGTGGGACGACCATGGCTAAAAATAAAATAAATTTAAAACCAATAATAGTTTACCTAACTCGAGAATATTACGAGACTTCGCTGGTTCATCAATGCTCGGTAATGTACGCTGCACACCTTACGAATTGACTGTGCTGTTTTAAGGGCACAGTGACATCGTAAGGTGTGTAGCGAGCATTACCTATGTTCAGTGATTATTATCTTTTATCTTATCTTTATATATATAATTTTCTGTGAGTGTGTATGTCACTGAACGTCTCTCAAACGACGACCGATTTTGATGAATTTTTTTGTGTGTGTTCAAGGGAATCTGGGAATGGTTTAGATTCACAAATCAGCCCGACAGATGGCGTTGCAGTCAGTGTCTAGGTTAGTTATCCTAAACGGCTGAACTAATTTGAATGAATTTTTGTTTATACATTCAAGTGGATCTGCAGGACAACGTCTATTGGGTCCGCTAGTGCTTTTATAATAACTATCGTGAGACATATTAAATTTACTAAAAATCGCGGGTTACTCACGTGAATATACTGATGATAATGAGTAAGCTACGCGACATCGCTGCGACCGCGCTCGCTGCTCATGAGGAAGTACCCCTCTGTGGTTCGAAACTAGTAGAGCTTTTCTCAGTATATAAACGTGAGTAACCCGCGATTTTTAGTTGATTATTATGCTTCTAATGCTGGTTTTTTTGATATTATTAAAATTGTTTTTTTCGTTTGTGAGTAGTATTTAAAAATGTAATTTATAGAGAATTTTAAATAAATATATGGAATGCTGGTAGAATAACGTGTGTCCATTACATTTAGATTAAAGTCGTCTAAAAGGCCTCTGCGCAGTTGGCTTCGGCTCCTCGTACGCCTCCCAAATGACCGGGACCCTGTGGTCCAAATGGTAAAAAAAAAACTGCTGGTAGGTACTGACACTCTGGTCATTATGCAAATGAGTTATTTGATTTGTAAAAAATAGGCATAAGTGCTTTAATTAATGCGTTTTAAAGAGCTATTTAGAGCAACAAGGTTAGGAAATGTTAATTTTAAATTAATTGGCCGAAGCTAATGGATATGTATGTTTGTACCTCTTATATGGTAGCCAGGTAAATAGCATTGCCAAAATAAAGACTCCTTACGCCTAAATAGTTTCGGTCAAATGTAAGTCATTTACGACAATTTAGATGACCTGTACAAAGATTTTAGATGGGCTGAAATAAAATTAAAGGTAAATTTGTACTCTAGGTATATTATAATAATCGGTATTTGGGATTAATTATTTTTCCATGTTGCCCCATATAAAGTCCCAAGACGTCGCGGAGAACCTAACAGGTAACCGGGGCTCCGGCTCGACGTGCAGGAGAAGGAACGGGGTGGTTTTTAGTCAGTAAGAGTCTGACACTCCCTCCCGCCTCATCCAGGCGGGAGAAGACATTCGATGATTTTACCCCCTTAAAAAAAACTCTCTTTCCATTTTTTATATCATTTCTTCACAGAATTTATCTATCAATCATTAAATCATTTTCGCCCTCGGACTAATACTTCTAGATAGACAATTTTTTGTATTATAGTTGAAATTCTTTCTCCATTAAACTGCAAGTCGCATTTAGTGAGCTGACCTCACCGGTAGAGGGCGTTTTGTCCACCACACTCGACCCATTTCCCGAGAGCGGCCATAAAAGTCTTCCACTACTGTTAGCAGAATAGCGCTTTACATACATACGAAACGTTGAGGATTTATGTTATGTACTGAATGACATTCTGATAAAGTATTTTACAAAGAAATATCTGAAATGTCGTTGAAAATATTTGAACGAAATTTCTCCTCTATAGAACTTATATTCTTGGATATTTCGGTCACATTGCCCGCCGCCAGTCAGATAACCTCGACAAATTGGTTGTTGTTGGTAAGGTGGAAGGAAAAAGACACGTGGCCGATCACCTAGCCGATGGTGTGACCAAGTTGCCAACTACACTGGACTCTCTGTTACGAAAGCCCTGAGAGAAGCCGAAAACAGGACAAGATGGAGGGAAATAACACAGAGAGCAATGAAGGCCTTTCAGGGGCACGATCTTCAGAAATGAAGCAAGCGATCGAGAAGAGAACTTAGATATGACTTGACAATTTAGGCTGATCTTTAGCTGATCTTTCGGTCTCTGTACCTTTCCCTAAGTAGGTTGGGAAACCACCACGCTCTTGAATATGTTACTAAGATAGTAAAATACATTAAAAACTCTAATTTAGACTTTACATAGCCATAACCACAGTCTATTATCCCACAACACAAGAAAATCCGAGCTGTACTTTTCTCGGTTTGGCTGGGGCCCTGTGCTTGCAACGGAACGCAGGCTGAACAAAGGAATTAGTAGGGAAAGCGGAACGGCCTTGTTGTTTTTGACAATAGAGCGTGCGATGAAAAGACGTGTTCTGCCATATTACCGGGAGTAGTTAGGTACACAGGGCTACGCAAAACCAGTATAAACTGATAGTTGAATATGCGAAAAGATTATTCAAAGCGAGATCAGGAGAAACTGGATTAGTCTAGCTTGGTGGGTACATGTTCCTAGGGAGGTATCGTGTTTATGAAGTGTAGTTGGATTTCATTTAATAGAATATGAGGAGTTTTAGAGGTGTGGTTTTTGTGAATAGTAACTTAGAACGGGATCATTTAGAACTTTTTAACATTGATTTTGATCCAACTTTTAATTGAAATATATATGTATTACTGCAAAATGTGCATGATTTCTGGTTTCGTATATATGTATGTATATTAGTATCTGACAGGTGAGAAACAGTAACTATACTCAACGGAGCCCGTGGCAAAGTCATCGGATGAGCCTCCATTCCCAATAAAAAACAGAAAAGTTCACGTGAAAACTTCTGAACGGGGCTCCTTTCAGCTGGGGTTTTGCCTACTTGCCACCCTGATGTTATGGCACTGCTGAGAAGTGAGAATAGAAGAAGTTTTGGACTAACCATAAGAAAGTAACTTGGGAACTACTACTTATGTAGATGATTGATGTACTGTCTGTATGTAATTAAGATATAAGAAACCTCAATATCGATTTGGATTAGCCTGTAAGAATATTGCTGGGAATAAAATAAACTAAAAAAAATGTATGTGCATCTTAAGTAAATATTCCACAATATAGCATGAGCAGCTTAAGTTTTATCCACTTGATTTAAATGTCATGACATTTCCTACACGTGTTCATCTCTCTAATTGCGTTTACTAAACTAAGACGTATTTCTAGGGCTTCCATCTTGTGAAGAAATCCATTTAAAGATATTACACGTGTAGATCGGTAAGAGGCAAAATATACCTTGCTGTACTACAAATAAGGCATTTAGGCATTCTTTAATTTCTGTCTATCAAAATATGTCGCGTAAATATTTGCATACGTATAACTGAATATACCAGAATGACTGAGTCAAATTGGATATTCCTTTCTGGAACCTGTTCGTATTTCGAAAATTGTAAATAAGTGTGGGAGAGCCATGCTTTGGCACGAATGGGCCGGCTCGACCGGAGTGATACCACGGCCTCACAGAAAACCGACGTGAAGCAACGCTTGCGTTGTGTTTCGTCGTGTGAGTGAGGTTACCGGAGGCTCAATTACCTTCCCCTTTCCCAATCTCCCCAATCCCTGAATCCCCAACGATCCTCAAACTCCTAATCCCCAACAAGGCGGTAACGCACTTGTAACGCTTCTGGTGTTCCAGGTGTCCATGGGCGACGCCGATTGCTTACCATCAGGTGATCCGTGCGCTCGTTTACCGGCTTATGCCATAAAAAAAATTCGAGAGTTGGCACATTCTCTGGGAAAGTTGAAGAAACAACCTTTGTAAAGTTTAGGATGGTGTCTAGTGTTCATCATACAAAAAAGCTATGTCTAAGCAACAGTTTCATACCTCCTGATTGCACTGTGAACAGAAGTCGTGCCGGCAGGTTGGGCAGTGGGCTGGGCTGGCAGCACGCACTTGTACCACTGTGTCACAGCCTACGCGTGGGCAAAACGCTCGTCCTGCGTCCATCGCCACTTCTGTAAAGGAAACATAGGTTAGAATAGGAGACACGCACACTTAAGTAGATAAACAAGGATGTAAAAATGGTAGCCATTACACTAACAACGATATCTATCAAACGACCTTAAGATATACAGGAAAGGACTCAACAGACAGAAACTCTGAGATTGTGATCATTTGTTCAACGTATAGTCAAAATATTTATGAGGAATGGCTGATTCAACCACATCCACAAAACTTTAGAATCAAACGGATCACCAGTCCTTAGTACGAGTTTGTTTAACATTTAAAGTATTCGAAACGAGTACGCGTTCGGCTCTCTGATTGGCCGGCGCCAATGAAGCAACCAAACAAAGCGTTGAACGCCATCTCGTTTCAATTGCTCGTACTAAAGCCTCAGATGGCAAGCGATCAGGCTGCCGACAACATTTCAAAATCAGCTTTTTAAATACCATCAAAGGCTACATTGTAAATGCAATCGTCAACAACACAGTTATAAGTTTAAAGCATTTTTTACAATTTTGGATCAATATTCTGTTAATTTCCAAAAATGGCGATGTCTCCAGTCTCATCCATTTCTGTCCATAGTGGTTTGGCTTGAAATCTGATAGCGTCCAGCCGTCCGAGTATTCATGTCAACTTGATTACTCTTATCGCAATACTGAACAGGATAAGGTGAATTTACGACATAGGCACTTGTTAAGGAAACGGAAACAACGGGTATAATGGCCCCTACTTTCCTTGATCCATACTTCCTACAACATCATATTATTATATCCTATGTTGTTTTTTATAACCATTCATGAACTTTAACCCTTCGTGACCTTTTTCGCATATTAATTAAACTTGAATTAATATTGTGGGTTTTCCATCTACTTTACTTTAAGTTAAAAGTCCGATTTTCGATTGTTGACTTCACTTTTTTTCGTTTTTGGGGAAACACAGAATTGAATCATAACAGTTAGGTATGAAATGTCATATCAATATTCTGTAAATATAGGTAAAAATAAAAATATTGAAGATACAAACATCGGCACGGAATAACCCGAAGAAATAAAAAAAGGTTTTTGTTAGTCAGAAACCAGATACTGGGTAGGTTCCGGATTTGGCCATGGTGATCAGATCCAAAATGTCGATTTTAGTTTAGGTTTTAATGGCAACTATAAATAATATGCAATCTGGTTTATAAACCATAACAGCTTATTTAAACCAGAATATAGATAAAACAGTGAGCTGCGCGACGTTGCCGCGACCGCGCACGCTGCTCATGAGGAAGAACCCCTCTGTGGTTCGAAACTAGTAGAGCTTTCCTCAGTATATTCACGTGAGTAACCCGCGATTTTAGTTAATTTAGTACGTCTCACGATAGTTATTATAAAAACATAAGTAAAACATGTTCTCTATTCTGTGCCTTCGTTAAGAAAATAAGAATAAGCTGCGCAAGAAAGTAATATCTTTTCTTATAGCAATGCAAGAAAATAAAACAGAATCAAACAGTTAGAACAGCAAATGCAATATGGAAATAGAAAATTCTACACTTCGAATAAAAACATCGGGAATTGAAGAAAATATAGAACCATAAGTTAGAGGAAATTGCTCGAGTAGTTTGAGCACTTTCAAATGTAAAGGCACATAATGTAGAGAGCGGAATACGATTTATTGTGAATCAATAACGTGGAATAAATGTGGACGATATTCAGAGGAATTCTTAACGTATACTGATATTACAAATGCGAAAGTTTAGATGTTTAAATTTATGGATATTTTTTTATTGCATAAGCCTGTAAACGAGCAGACGGATCACCTGATGGTAAGCAATAGGCGCCGCCCATGGACATACGAAACACCAAGTCCAAGGCGTTACAAGTGCGTTACCGGCCTTTTGGAAATTGGGAATTTGAGGATTATATATTTTGATAACTATTTAGTCAGTCAATAATGACAAAATGACTGCACTGAAAGGATCTGGATCATAGATAGATCAATAGACAATAGAATAGACCATGAAACTACTGGACCTATTTTGAAAATTCGCTCACTATTAAAAAGCTTCTCTTCATAGGCTTTTTACGCTATTTCCGCAGAACACTACTACTCGAATTTCACGCGAGTGAAGCCACAGGCTGAAAGTAAGTTTATTTAAACAGTATTGAGAGTTAGCGGCGCGTGAGGACGAGACGATTGGATGGATTTTTGTTCCGATCAAATCCACGTTCGGATTACGGCTCAGTTTATTTGATGACAGATTTTATTGGGATGCTTTGCGCTTTGGAATTTTAGTAAATATACCTAGTGACATAACGCCTTATATCTCTTGAAGTGGAAGATGTTGGTTAAATAAGAAAATATACTACGCAACGCAATTCATCGGATTCTTTTTGCTCTCTAAGTCCATCAGTTGAGGGGACGTTTTTCAAAAATTGACAAACAGGTGAGCACAAAACTTAGAAAGATTGCATTGTCTAGTAGGAATAAATAGCACATCATGTATTGTAGTTTCAACATTAATGTTAGGCGATAAAGTCGTAAATTGTACAATAATCTGCGGTTATGGAGCGGATAATCGTTGTTTAACAGAGCGAGAGCACTGGCCGTCTGCAGCAGATGAACGCACACGCATCGCCGAGGATCGAACGGCACACAATCAGAGCATGAATGGAAGACCATGCTCATTGATCATTGATTGGTTGTTTTAACCACGAAAGTATTGGAAGTGTGTTAAAAATGTTTGTGTTGGTTATTTATTAAGATTGTTGGTAGCCAGTTTTTATAAATCTGCGATGACTGGTGACTTCCATTAATTAGTCTGTAGTCATCATTATCATTGATGTCTGTTATCTAATCTAGTAGTCGTCCAATCTCTTTCATTCAAGAATTTTCTTTTTATGTAGTAAATTCTCCTTATGATGGAGGTGCAAAACTGGAGTATTCGTGTTTATCACAGTATTTTACTACTTACCATGGTTCAATCTAAACTTGAGATGTTTCTCCATGACTGCCGGTTCCACCAGCTCAGAGATCTCTTCCAGATTGAGGGCGGCACCCACTCTGCATCTCGCATCGGGACATGACACCTCGTACGCACCATTGCACACTTCAAATTCGACATACGCTTTCATACACTGCAACAAAGAAATCAAACAAATTAATAAGTGGAAAATGAAGATTATTGAATAAATATTGGAGAAAAATATTTTTATTATCCTCCACAATAGTTTTATTTTCGTTTATAGGACCCGAGAAAAACGAAACCTATACTTTTTTAACACAAAACTCACGATATGGTAAGATGTTTTGTAGAGAATTTTGTTATTTATTATTGTTTTATCAGAATTAATAACTACTTTGATAGTTGCTCCTGTCAGTTCAAAGCTTCAGTCTTCAAACAGTCAAAATTCATTACCTCTCGTGTATGAGTCGACAGCTTTTCTTTTATAAACTATGCAAGATTGTCGTGTGATTTGTAGGCCTCTTTTTAAACTATTTTTGACCTTCGTTTACCTTGGAGTTCCTAACGTGACATATCGATTCACGTTTCAACCTGACCTTGGTACTAAGTTCATTGCCTCGGTAGGCCGAACTATATTTAAATTAAAAATCTAGAACTATGGTGACAACTGCTTTTCTTTTGAGGGAGGAAAATCATCCAATAACTTCTCTCGCCTTGGCTAATGGCTACAATATTTTTTAAGGCTAATTTCCCTTACTATCAAGTAAAATGTGTATTTAGGTAGGTGTATCTGCTATTAGATCTACATTTTTACAAACCAGACCAGCTTTGCAAACTATTCTAATGTCATACTAAAAATAGCAACAAAATGATTACCAATCAATAATGATTGTATTGTAAATTTTGATGTTCCTCAATGTTTAACTATCTACACTAACTACTCTGAAGACTAATCGACAGATACCCGTCGAGCGTCCGCGTTCCTTATGATCCAACGGGTGCACACGTGACATTTGGAGAAAGAAAATGCATTTATTTGGCCATTGGCACACGAAAACAAGGATCATTTCAATAGAAATAAAACAAATACAGTCAAAAAAAAAACAAAACATTAATAATAGATTTCATAAAAGAGAAAGCAGCATGGAGCATTTTTTCTTATGATCTACCGGGTGCTCATAAGGACGCTCGAGGGGTTAATATGTTTCCCACGTGAAATATCTTAGTAAAGCCAAGAGAAACGTAATCAGACATCATGAAACAGGTCTTTAAACCCCAGCAATGAAAAGGTAAGAGTACCCACTTATCAGAAGTATACGGTTTAACTTGAAACTTGAACACAATAATATACCTAAGTACAGAGAAAACTCGACACAATCGTTTTATAGAAAACCATTCCTTTGTAAATCTCGACTGTAGGTGTACTTTAGAAAGGGGAAAGTCGATGGCACATCTAGGTATAGGTTTCTATACCTATATACTTCAATATAGCTTAACTGGAACTAATGTGATGAAGGTGGTAAAGTGGCTACCGTGTAGATGTTATTTGTGTTTGTGACTGGATTTTCAACTTAAGATCAAGTATTTACTTCTGGATGGAGAAGGGACAAGTGCATCAATGTTCAAATAAGCCCTCTGCACTATGGAGTGAATGACTGCACGGTTGGTGCGGTGGCTGGGCAACCGGCTGCCGTGCAACGTCTCGCGGATTCGATTCCCGATCCACAAATTGTTGTTTCGGGTCTGGGTGTCATTGTCTGTTGTCATTGTGTATGTGAACTTGTATGTTTGTAAACGCACCCACGACACAGGAGAAAATCATAATATGGGGCAAGGCTTTATTTAAAAAAAAATCTGCAAGTCCTAAAATAATTCAAAATATCCACCATCGGAGTTCAATTTATGTTACCTAGTTTACTTCAGAAGGTACGAATCTAGCCAAAGTGATATTATAACAAATAAGAACTCAATAAAACGACCTTCATTGATTTAGAAAAACCTTCATAGAAAGAACTAAAAATATCCAACCTTTAACAATTTGCCTAAAGCAAACGATATTTATTTGACAAACAGAAAAATCTCATTTGATGTAATCGCACAAAACATGCTAACCGAACTAATAAATAAATGCGAATTTGTTTGTTTGTTTCATTAGTACTCAACCAATCTTCTTGAAATTTCGCATACACATACTCGAGAGTACGGAGAAGTATTATAGTTGTTCATCGCGAATAAAGCCGGGGTTTAAAGCTAGTTGTTTGATAAAAGTATTGTAATAAAAGTGTTTTTGTAAAGAAATTCGCAATTTGCATCGATCGAAGCATGTCGCGTGTGTTGAGGTATTTATAGGCCGGGCTACGGTTGTTATTGAGGTCGGTAGTCAAGATATACGTTGCTGGTTCTACGGAACCCATTATCTAGAATTCTAGATTAATCCTGTTAGGAATAGAGCAGGTATTGCAGGCTTAAGTTTTTAAAATGGTCTTTAAATTATTTTTAGTTTTGCGCGCTAGTTGGCGCCACTCGTTCTAAGTCTTTTATGTCTTTTGACATTGTTAACTAACATTTTTATTCTGATGTTTGAAATAAAAAATGCAATTTTATATAACACAAATAACTCTTTGTCGTTAAATAAAAAACTGGTTTAAATCTAATTGTTCTGCACCTTGAACTATCACTGAGTAAAAACTTAAAAATTGTATTAATAAAAACGTAAAAAACGTAAAAACGTAAGAAAAAAAGACTCATTGTCTTAATTATTACGTTTTTCGGCTTGGATTCCTCTGTCTTTCATACTGTCAATACTGTTCATGCATATGAATCTTTAGAATGGCTTGAAACTAGTCGAGTTCTTTTTGAAACACTTTCATGAGTAAGACGGAACACATACTAATCAATTTAGCATGTTTCACGAATATTATAAATTACAATACTTAATTCATCTCCATTTTTATGTGGTACTAATCTCAATAAATGAGAAGACATTAATATCTTTGAAGACATATTATTGTCTACAGCAACTGAAAGCAATACCACAAAGAGCAATTACATTAACTAAAAATTGCGGGTTACTCAGGTGAATATACTGAGAAAAGCTCTACTAGTTTCGAACCACAGAGGGGTTCTTCCTCATGAGCGGCGTGCGCTGCCGCGGCGATGTCGCGCAGTCTACTCAGTATGTCTCACGATAGTTATTATAAAAACATAGCAATTACTATGATACGTCAAAACGTCGCATTTTGTTCTGGTTAGCAATTAATAATGACAATATAATGGTTACAATAACAGTCGTTATAACTTATAATCAATATAACGTATATTAGTAGATTTGTACATAATTATAAAGTATAGCGTGCTACCTGCTTTCTAGTATAATGACTTAATGATAAATGATGATACTATTATCATCTTGTAAAACGCGATTGTACCACGTGTCCACGTGTATGGGCATACGTTTGTTTTTTTATTAATTTCATAGGAGGAGGTAAAATAATGTAAAATACCTTTGAAGTTAAATAAATGCTATTGCTTTTAAATTATTTAATTTAATTTTAGTATCTATTATAAGCTACTAAGCTATATCTAAGCTATAGCTATATCCTGGCTCTTGTGATACATGGATACATACTCCAAGAACCAGGGCTTCACTGTGTTAATTCTCTGAAGCGCTAATAAACGTTTTATTATTATTTTTATTATTTATTATTATCTAAGCATCAGTCCTTACAAACTGTTTTTGAAACAAAATCGTTATCGTTAATCGGAAAATCAATGAATGTCCTCTCCCGTCTGGATGATGCGGGAGTGAGTGTCAGACTCTTACTGACTAAAAACCTCCCCGTTCCTACTCCTACAAATTGCATAATAAAAAAAGTAATCATTTAAATATGTCTCCGAGTACGTATAGTAAGAGTTTTAAATTATCACTTTCAGCACTCAATATTTTATTTTCCATGGAGTTTTCGTTCTTATTTGTTTGACAATAGGCACGTCCTCTACATACGTCCTCTGCCTACTCCTCTGGGGGAATAACAAGCGTACCATTGTTTATTGTTATGTAAATATCAGCTTCGAAGTCATGTGATCAACACCAATAATACAATCAAGCTAATATTATGTCAGCAAACTCAGCAATACATTAGACCGAATTAATATTAAAATATGCAACCAGAGGTCGTGACAATGATCTATTTGAATCTTTTAATATGAAAGCAATCGATTCCTTTTCTTTTATGAAATAGGAGGCAAACGAGAAGACTGATCACCTGATGGTAAGCGAACAGCGCCGCCCATGTCTATGGGCGGCGCTGTTCACTTCAACAGTGGAGTCACAAGTGCCTTGCCGGCCTTTTAAAAAGGAATACGTTATTTTCTTGAAGGTCGGATGGGTTCGGAAATCCCGCCGACGACGTGATATATAAATAATCTTAGAAAGTACCTACATAGAGGTATAATTCGGAAAAAGTCACATTGGTACTTGCACCATGCACCATCACGCTACCACCCTCCGACCCACCAAGACATGTTTTCTATTTACTTTTGTTTTGTTATATTTTTTCCTATGTATTGTCTGTGTACATAAACTAGTAAAAAAATAAATAAATTCCTTTAAATTTATTATCAGTGACTAAGTAATAAACCCGCAGAAGTATTAAAACTAAAACGGTAATGACATTGAAAAAAAATGTAATAAACAATAGCAATCTAATTACATAATCATAATAATTAAACAGTTGTGTATATACAATGTTTTTGTTTAATTTATATGTCAGGGTTGCCGAAGATAATTTATTTTATTCTATTCATCTTTATTATGCAGTTAATGACCATCTGTCAAGGCCCTATCCAATATTGGTTTAACGTAATCCATAGATTTTCTATACATTTGAACGTCAATTTACATAATTTTGATTTGTTGATCAAGTTTTTATTATTGCGGTTGACTTTTCGAGTCGGTTGTTATACGTTTTAACGGCTTTATTATAGAACTGATTAAGTTAATGAAATTGTTAAGTTTCGAAGTAAATCTGTTGGTTTGTGACCACGATCAGTGGTTAGAATGTCAAACAGTCTAATAATGGAGATTTCGCTTCAGTTTTCGTATAAATAACATAAAATTAATGATTTATTGATTTAAATCATCTATCAGAATTAGGACTACATAATAAAAGG